CACCAGATGGCTGGCATGTGCGGCACATCGCTCCCGAGGGCTGAACCGTCCAAACTCCTGTCTTGTCATGTGAGCAAAAGGACGTAGCAGAGTTATGCTCACCGTCTCCAGGTGGATGCTATTCAGTTTCAGTCATTGTGTGACTCTGTGATACTTTTAGGCGGTCGACTTACTGCAAAGCAATGACGGACGGCAGCACAGACTGCTCAAATCGCAATTCATGGGGAAGCCCGTATCTCCAATTGAGCAAAGCGTCGTAGAGCTCCAATGCATAGCCAGGCTTAGACACAGTGTCGACACCGTTCTCGTCGGGATGTAGATAGTTTAATATCAATTCGACAATCTGCGAAAGCGCAGCATCCGCCTCCCTGATAGCCACCTGCATTGATGGCTGCATCTGAAGGCTCAGCGGGTAAGGATACCAACAGTATCCTGCGGACCCAGTCTGGTGAAGCGTGAAGCTGCTCTCACGCCACACTTTGTCAATCTTTGGCGGGCGGCTCAACTTTCGAAGACCAAGCGCCTCAGTAGATCGCCTGGCCAATGTCAACACATGAGCATCATGAGCTCGGGCTCAAAAGTCCACTCACCATTCAGTGCAATACATTCCCCACATGCACCACGAAGTAGCTTCTCTCTCCAGCCTCCGTCGAGGCTCAGGCACCGTGTCGTCAGCAAGCTCGTCCATGTTCCTATCGTTGAGAATTCTATAGACATCCATGCATCGCGTCAAGTATTGTAGCGTTTCTGCGCCAGTACTAAGATTGGCCTCGTAGATGAGCAGAATGTATAGACCTTGCATAAGAGCAATGGATGGCCGGGGGCAATTTTGCAGGTGAAGCTCAGCCTCCTCCGCCCATAGCCTCCCCCTTGTTTTGGGATCCCCAGGGTCTTTGTATGTTGCTGGGTCCATCGAGTAGAGCTGAATGCATTAGAGCAAATCATCTTGCAGATTTTGGTTTGACTTACGCAGCTCAAGGCCAGTAGGCAACTGACCAGAAAGGGAGAGCAAAAGTCGCTGGCGGTATTGTCGTCATAGTCACCTTGGTTCCCTCTTCTGATCCTTCTAACATCTTCTTCGAAGATTGGTCGATAGATGATACGCTCCACGATATTGTCCCAGGTGAAGAACAAGTTGAGCAAATGATTCATGCGGTGATCATCAGTAGATACCCTGGTCCAGCTGGACAATGGCAAATCATGACCTGATACATCCACAAAGAGGCTTGGATCTACCCGTCGGTAGTAAGCATCAGTGTCGTAGCGTTTCTCAAATATAAAGTCGCAGTCTTCGTATCTAACAATACGTCAGCAGTGGATCCAGCATCGTACTATGGGCATCACTCACGGGGACGTCAACAGTGGACGGGAAGCAGAAGCAGGACATTGTCCCAAAGGCGGTCCAGTGGCTGCAACCGCTCGATAAGAGGATTGCAGCAGGAGGCTTGCACCGGCTAAATCACCAACGGCAGTGTCAACGCTTTCAGCTTCTCTAATTCTCTGCGCAATTTGTTCAGCGTGCACGCTGTCTCCGCGGCGTATCAGGTCAACGACGCTCGCATAGTTTTCAGTGCGTTCCCTTTTGAGCTGCTGAGATATACACCAGGCGGAGCAGTGTAGATACAGGGGCAGTTTCTTCTGGCACATTGGCGGCACTGTGGCCGGGCGCTATCACACTATGCTCTTTGACATCAGCGCTGGTCTCTCATGCTCGATTGTACGCTCATTGAAAATGATTCAAGCCCGCCTGCTTTCCTTGACTGGCGAGCGCGCTGACTCTTACCTTGGTTTTTCGTGTCCTACAGCCTGAGGTTTCGAGTTAGTTTGCAGTAACAATCCATAGCGTGAGGCTACGTACTGTTGCAAGCATTGCTTACTAGCCGGCGTCTGCGGGGTTGTGGTGCCTCTGGTCGTCGCTCTTCTTCACCCGATAGTCTGGGCAAAAGTCTTGGTAGTGAGCCTCGAGCTGGAGACATTTTTTGTTCGCTTCAAGAGCCTCAAGAGAGGAGGGCATCTTGGATTGAAGTGGTGAGGGATGGCAGTCTACTTATACAACGGCAGAAAGCAAGCGTTACGTAAGTTGTGGCTTCGTTAGATTAAGAAGGAAAAGGCGTCACTTTTCACTTTTGACAGCAATTATTATACAGTTTTGAAGGTTTTGGAGGAGGAAACGCTGTGGCATGGCCAGTTGTGCGGCTCGGAGAGAGCTCCGGACTGCAATATCCACACGCAGGGTTATCTACGGCAGCCTATAGGGGTCACTGTTCTCTCTTGTGGACATCTAAGTGAGACTTCCGGTGTACTCAAACCTGGTGGTGTCTTTGGGGTGTACGAATGACTTATGACGGACGCTACGACAGTGAGAACCTGGAGCACCGCGAGCTTCGGTTGGACATTGAGCAAGGCGACGTCATTGCCCAGTTGTTTACAATCTCTGACGGCAAAAAGGCCATGAAAACCGCGGATTTCCAGCTTCAGGTCAGCCTCGACCTGGCCGAAGCCGTCGACAGGCCTCACCACCCTGGTACTGGCCGCTTGGTAGCGACCTGCGGTACGCCCAGACTGTTGGGGACGCCTTCACGGTGCTGCGAATGAACCGCTGGGGACGCGTTGTGGCCCATAATATATCCTTACGCTTCTCTAGACTCGCCGTATTGCGCCGCCGGGAACAAAAAAGACAGCTGATGGCTTGGGCAAAGCCGCAGGCAGGCTAGTCCAAAATGGCAAGGCGAAGCTATCTACGCCCATGTATCTGATGGTTAGCCGGAAGCCGGTTGCGAGCGAAAACGGCCAGTAAGTAGAGGGAGATTTGGTCAGGTATTCGATAAACTAGTGTCAGCCTCTGGTATCAACATGATTTCGCAAGTAACATACGATATTTTTAATAGCCGTTGGTAATAATACATGTGCCAGGACGCTCGACGTGATTCAGGTGATGCAGCCCGCTGGAGCACCGCTACAGTGGGGCAAATAGTGACGCAACTCGCTGTAATTGAAGCTGCTACAGCTCAGGACATGCTGGCAGGGACCTCAGACACTCGTTACGTTAGTGGGACCAAACGTTGAGCTACACATTCAGCCGTTTTTGCTGTGCGTTCTGCGCTCTGCTGTATAACCTTTGCTTGGTCGAGGGATGTCAGAGCAGGACAGTAAGCTGCTGAAAGAAGTGGAAGTGTTTCGTGATGGAGACTCACCATCTATCTATCTGATTCGCTTGTTAAGCCTTCGCGCGAAATGATGAGCCGATGCGCCATGCTTATGGCAAGCGTCGCCTTGCTAATCGCGGTAGTGGTACTCTAGCCCTCGGCTTCACGCTCACAAATGCGTCATACATCTCGTCAGACAAAGGCTCATGCTGCTTCAGATGGTAGATATCTATCATGAGACTCTCGCGAGGGAGAAAATTGTGGAGGATGGCGCGGCACAGGTCCCGCGCAGCATGGAGATACTGCCGAAGCCGGTCGTCACGATCATCCAGCCTCTGTTCTAGTTCGTGGATATGCCGCGCCCGGCCAGTCCGCCCGGTCACCGCTCTCGGAAAGGCCAGCAGCAAAACATATTTGTCTTCTTCCCACTCGCTGCGTAGCTCGCAGATGTCCTTCCAAAACTTGCAGCGTGCCTGCACGATGCGCATGTCTCGAACATCGATCGGATGCTTCATCGCTTCTTTGACATCGTTATCTGTTTGATGACGCGCCATCTCCTCATAGAAGAGAGTGGAATTGAGTCGGTCGTGGAATGCGCTTGTCGATGACATGTTCTGCACTAGCAACCACAAGAAGTCTAGAGGTGTACCCGCCGCCCGAACCACGGCACGCGTAGCCAAGGACGCCTCGTTGAGGTTTGCGAGGATTGTCCTGGCATCGGCCACGTTGCAGCCACTCTCCTGCCAGACTCGTTTGCATGCGGGCTGTACCAGAGAAGCGGTGGCGGGTGGGGGGCTGCAGCCGAAGTCGACCGGCGGTGGAACGAAGACATCCTCGGGCTCCGCAATCGACAGAGCAGGAGATTGCCTGTCAACGCCATGGATCGCATCGTCAAAGAGACAGCAGACTTTCTGTAACTGACTTGGATGGGTCTATCTTTTCGCAGAGAAGTTCGATCACGACCCGTGCACGCAGATGGGAGGCCAGGTTGACAGCAGTCTCTTGAAGGATGTGCGGGCAGCCACGCTGGATACATCGGATACCCATCAGCATGAAGATGCTGGAATCTTCGTCTCTCTCGTGTACAGGCCCGGTCCAGTGATTCGTCATTATGCGCTCATCAGGTGATGATAGCGATGCAACATGTCTGCCGCGTCTGCTGTCATACCAGTGAACGCAATCAGGGTACGCCACGGCGAAAGCCCACGCGTCGCCGTCCACGAATGGTATGATGGCAGGGCGGGCAGAGCCTTCGGAAGACAGCGTTATCTCGTTCTGCAGAGGCCGAATCGTTAAAATCTCAATTGGGCTGTCAAGCTGCCGTAGAAGATCGAGGTAGCTCTGCACCGCATCTCGGGGTGACGTCTGCGGCTGCGCCATGTTCACCGCCGCTTTCGTCGGCTGTGGGCACGGTATCGGAGTATCTGAAAACATGGTCCACTAGGCACGAGAGTGCCAGCAATACACCTCTACGCTGTTATATCAGGAAATGGAAGCCGCTACCGGTTGTATGAAGTGTCAAAGTGTGTGCTACGATGTTCTAGCGTAGGAACTATGGCTGCTTGCCTTGCAACCATAATTTAGTGCCTTTGGATACTCATCATGGTTAGCGTTGTGGTCGTCATGTCGCTGCACGATTTTATGAGTACGAAGTTCTATTTGTCTCGAAAAAAACCCTCCTTGAAGCATCCATACTCATTTCTCACTCATCACTCCGTAATACGATTAGGCAGCACGAGAGACAGTAACACATAAATGATGTAATATGCATACGTCCCGCTCAATCGATTTTCATGCAGGCAATCTGATTCACAAAAAAGACTGTAAAACCTTTGATGCTTCTGATCTCATCATTTCTCGCTCCCGACATGTTGTGCCGTCCTCGGCTTGTAACAGAATTCGAGCAGTGGCTCGACTGTCGACCCGCGGGCTATATAGTCTTCAGCGACGGCTCCAAAACAGACAGTGACACGGCCGGATACGGCTTCGCCGTATTCTACCATGGACAACTTCTGGATTGGGGTTCCGGACAGCTGGGACGACGAGAAGTATTCGACGCCGAAGTACACGGCGCGCTTGCTGGACTGAAAGCGGCCATGCAACAGAACAGCCGTCTCGAGCCGATCACAGTCTGCATGGACAACACGTTCGTGGTCGACTGGATCTGCCCGAAGCATGCCAGTTTCATGATACCATTCCTTATATAGGGTATGGTTCCTCCACTTGGGCATAGCTTTAGCCATCATTCGCATGTAAAGCAGGTCTGGATAATCGTCTCTGACAATTTTTGCAATATCGTGCGATGCAGCTCTCGGGTTAGGGAACTGGGCTGTGTCTACTAGAGTCACCTGGATGCCTCTGCTCGCCAAGGTATAGGCAGTGGCGGCACCAAACGCTCCAGCGCCCACGATAATGACGGATTTGAATTCCTGTATATCTTCAATGTGAGACGATGCTAAAGACGAGGAAGATGCGGAGCTGACGGGCGATGAAGTTGGAGTGGCAGGGATAGCAGGAGAAGGGGGGCGGCCGTATCTGAGGCAGCGCACATGCTGATGACTGGTTGTGATGTTCCTAAATTGTCAGATGACTTTCGAGAACTGCAATCTATCGGCAAAATGGTGATGTTGACAAGATATGTGACTTGCCTTGTAGCTGAATAGCGATTTGGTGAAATTAGGGCGCGAAAGTGAGGGAAAGACTTATAATGATGTCGCAGGGAGAAACAATGTATAGAAATAGCCCCACTAGTAGGAGCCAATCTGATACGCTTAGAGCTCATTCTTTACTCATAGTTGACATTAGCTTCATCTAGCATCGGGCTCTCTCCCTCCTACACTTTTCTTATCTCAGTAGCTACTCAGCCCAATCTCCTGACATATACGCTACATCTTGCCGGCCATAGTTTTACAGACAAAATCACTGTTTTTATGGAGGCTATGCTCCGCGCAGTCTAGTTGTTGAAAGAAGGCAACTTCGTGGCGTTTTCACAGGCAACAACATCCAGATCCACTCGCGGAGAAAGTGGCCAATTAACCTTTACGGAGGCTTTCGGAGCTCATGCACCATTATTACCAGCCCTACCTTCAGGAGTGTCCTTGCTACCGTGTGGCTTGGGTATCTTCCTATATCGCGGCTCACCGCCGAATTATACACGCGCCTCTATCACTCGTCCAAACTACACAGTTCTGTTTTGCTAGACCTAGTCTTACCACGGCTAGAAGGCGAGAGAGGAGGAAATCGCTTCAGCAAACTTGACATCCACATTAGGGTGGGTTTACCGCGACAACTTAAGCCAAAGGGCGGAGAATGTGCTCTCAAGCCCGGGAGAACTGTGAAGAAAAGCCTGTAGTTAGTCTGACATGCTTGCCAGGTGCCCGCTCCAATGATAACGGCATGCTAGCTCAGTGAGAACCAACTAAACTTCACAGCAGTATCCACCTTTGTGCATCGCATTGTATTACGGTACACTTGCTCCGTAGACGAGCATCGAGCTCATATCTAGTTGAATGCTGTACTAGAATGTGCTTAGTGAAGAAAGTGACTGCAGTCCCAGCTCTCTCATTATAGCGTACTTCTTTCTGCTCGTCGGACATATTAACAATCCATGGCGTAAATACCACCGTATAAAGTGGGACACGTTATATTTCCATGGGTAATTAAAGCTGCTCAGTGCTTGTGGCCTTGGTTGTGATAGTTTCGACCCCTGTGTTTATAGCAGGGGAAGAAATGCTCTAACAAAAAAAAAGCCTCTTTAGGTCCGCGCTTTTTTCGCTTCGCCCTTGGGAAGAATAACCCTCTAGCCGTTGCGTATGACTAAAAGTCTGATAAAATCTGCCATTGTCGCACGGTCTGATGCATTGAAAGTGTCAAACGTCTACAAGTCAAGCCTCATCCGGCTTCAGTCACTGAAAGGTAGGGTTGCACTGCTGTCTGATAACGCTGTCTCTGTTGGCTCATTACGCAAGCGTTCTGCCTGGGTGGCAAATTCTGTCGCAACACTGCTGCCTGAAAGGCAGCAATTTTCCAGAATAATTGATGCCGGATTGTTGACTTGAGGAAAACAGGAACAAGCTTTTCAATAATAGCAGAATCAACGACAGCTAATTGCCTCCCATAACGTGACAATTGCACGCCGTAAATACTCATGGCATAGGTCGTAAAGCTGGTTTATGCAGATAAGAGGAGAGTAGCGCTCCAAAACGTCGCTGACCACATGCAATCTGTTCCATAGCTAAGCTGTAAATTTGCGGTGATTCATCGTCTAAGGTTTAGTATGTTATCTGGTAAAGACCGGCTGAGATTTCGGTGGCATCTTTGACGGCCCACATAGTGCTGAAATGCAATTGGTACGGAGGTCATGGGCACTATCGCTCCGATTGGCTCACCACTACTATACTATACAATATGGCTAGCAGCCATATATGATATGGGGTAATACAATATGGACCTTGTGACAATACAATGAAATATCGTGAGGGGATCCATATTGCCAATATTATATCATCTATATTGTAAGCAACACCAATGAAATATTAGCCGCCAGCTTCCGAAGCGCATAGATCCAGACTGGGCACAACGGCAAGAAACCATGAAGCTAGCCATGCACGCAATCGCGTCAATGACACAGTCCGTACTTTTAATGGTCAATTCTCTTGCATTGTCAATACTTTGAGACGTTGCATATGGGAGTAGCCCGCAGGCATAGGCGGCCGGTGTGCTGCATCGGTTCAAGTTTCCAGGGTGGTGTGGCCGACAAGGGCCCAGTGAAGCAAAGCCTAGGCCCGTGGTCTGTCAGTCCGCGACGGTACATTTACGCTGTAAAGTTGACTCGTTGACGAGAAGAGCTGCCTGCCGTCCCGGCCGATTGCTCCGTCTGGGTGCGGGAGGTAATCCTCAGATATGTTGCCCAAGCCTGCATGCGCCAAATCACGATGTTGCCTCAGCCTGCCTTGACATGTAAATCTTGCTGTCAGATTGTGTCGTCATCGCCTGGAGAGAGCGGGTTGCCCGCCTTAACATGACCCCAGGAGGAGGCGAGGCTGATCAATACACTGGCCGTGGGTATATAAAATTACCGCTCAGCGTCAAAGCCTGAGGGATAACAATTCTTTACACCACAAACGCCATCAAGACATTGTATGCTATCGGACCCTTCCACAGACGGATAGAGCTAATTGCAATTAGGCTTGCTATTCGCAATGTGCACTCAGTGGTGGCGAGCAGTTATATATGCCTGTGGCGACAAGGCAACGAGCGTTCCTGCCGGCTTTGACACTTGCGACGACCCCAAAAAGGAGGGCCATACAATAGAGAGTGCCTATCACGGTACAATCAGAGCGGAGGAAAAGTGTGGACAATATGATTGCTCGAATGGAAAGGAATTCTTTGCAGAAGATTGGTAGCTTTGATGCAAGGGAATATATCTCTTCAACTCCGATAAATGATTCGGTCCAACAACCTTTAATACTTGCGCCTCCAAATAAGTCGTCAACGCTTGGGAAACTCCCTTTTTTGAAGCGCCGCTCCGTCAGAGCACTATACTCATCTATCTCATCCAAGCTGAATAATTCTGCGGTACCTCGTGTCGAAATAGCTCTGCCTCGGTTTGCTGAACATGTCGATGAGTGGATACAGAAGGCTTGCAGGGTAATAAACCACCTCCGAGTCATGAACAGTACCGTGCGAGGCATGGCAGTGACAGCGGTCCGTCGAGCAGCATGGGCTGTGGCTATGCCAATCCTATCATATGTCTTAGACGCAGTGATCGGAATGGTCCGGTATGGAGGTCACACCGTGCCATACCGGCGGCCCCTACATTCGCGCCTGGGCGCGGATCAAGAATTTCGCGCCCTGCTGACTAACTTTCCCGCGCCCCCCTTCCCAGTGGTCAGTGATGAAATTTTAGTGGCTTACTTGATTAAATACAGTGCCTCTTGTGCTGCACAGTCCGCTGCCGCAGCCTTCCAGATGTCACCCATGCCTCGTCTCTCAGAGAAAGGGTTGGCTTCCATCTCAGCTGCTACCACTGCTTCAACCCGGTCTTCTTCAGCCTTGTCCCAATCCAGATACGACATCATCTCTTCCTTCGTCCAGTCTCTAGCGTTCTTTTTGCGCTTTACATTGCCTACCCATCTGCTTCCAATCGAGGCACCAAGCAAGCTCCGCCTTGTTGTACCGCTGGGGCATACCCATTGCCTTTCGGTACTCTGGTTAGTCTTGATACTGCCACGCAGCTGCGTTTCGTACCAAGCTTGTCTCGACTCAATATATCTCTGATAGACTGCTTGCGGGTCGTTATATCTGATTTTTGGCGCAGTTACCTTTCCCTCCACTGCTGACTCGGCTACCGCTGCCTGTTGTACTACTGTCGGTTTGACTATAATGCAATCTGCCACTGTCTCAACTGTAGATGTGTGGCTACCAGACTCATGATCTGCCAGCCCCCGGACTTCTAATGCCTGGTCGCCTTCTATGTGGCCCGTTAGTGCTTGCATTGCTACCGTGAGATGTTCGTCTTTCTGACCTATGGCCGCATGAGCTATCGTCGCCTCCGTGGCTATCGTCGCCACTGCTTCTGATGCCACGTTATCGCTGTCTGTGCTGCTGTTTCGGGCGCTGAGGCTGGTGGCTGAAAGAGCTCTGTATATCGTAAGGGGCATGACTTTGAAGTCATTGTGTAACCTATTGTCAGGCTTTCTATCCATACTCCATACTCCATACAGGTCCGTATGGAATATGGAATATGGAATATACCTCGTATGGAATAAGGTTCCATACGTATGGAATACACGAGATGACGTCATCAAAGTATGAAGTACTAAGAACAAGTTGTTGAGCATCCCCATGTTTCACTGCCACCAACTTCCTCGTTCTCCTCCTCTTCGGCCAAGTCAACCGGAATCCCCCGTGTGATGCCACTCTTGATCCAGCTTTTCATGCACTCTCCCCTCTCCATTGTACGACTCCTGGCCGGCATCGGTCCCACGATATTGTACACCGTGCACCAGAAAAGATGCGCTCTGGCTCAGCTGGCATGGCCGGTATTGATAGAATATCGACGGCCATTCTAGACAGGCGAGGGTATCGTTGCTGTTGCTCCTCTCTGAGCCACCACGCAAGCGGGGAGCAGTCGATAGCGACTGGACTTTCTGCAGTGAAAGCCTTATACTCTACGTCACCCATCGCTGAGCTAACGACATCCGGTTTCCCTCCTCCCCCGTCGTGACCTGGTAGCTCCCCCACCATAACTCCTTCCAGTCGCTACCTCACTTCGTTCGGTCTGCTACCTTGCCCGTTTTTCAGAGTTTGTTCACAAAACTTGCGTGAAAATAAATCATTTCATAATTTTTTGATTAAAAAACGAAAGGCCCCGATTTGAAGCTGGGTCGTTGCCTAGTTTTCATCGGTAGCCGGGTGTCTGCCCGAGATTGAACGACAGTCGCTTCGCTCCTTTGGTGGTCGCTGACGCTCCCCCCACGCTGGATTTTCCATAATCCTGTCCTGGCCTCCGGTGGTGATCGTTCTAGTCTGGTTTACTTGGCGAATGAGATGTGAATTGGTACTGTTCTCTGCATCCGGATGTACTAGACTGATCATATTCATCGACATCATTAACAACTACATTCTGCACTCCGTGCTAACCCTCTCCGTTTCCATCTCCACGGGGCGCATGCGACACCAACCAGTCAAGGAGGCACCCCTCCCGCTGAAGCTATCGCGACAGGACACCATCGTCAACTCCCTCCGTCCCCTCCGTCCACTCATTCTTTCCTCACTCGGTGTGTTTGCATCCTCAAAATAAAAACAAGCAAGGAAGCGAGCGCTAAGCCAACGCAGCGTGCACATCCAACTTGAGCTTGTCCGCCAGAATTTCGTTCCCGAAAAAAAACCGATCGGGTCCTGGCTCAAAGTGCTTCAACATAAAACCGACATCCGTCTCCAAAGCAGCCTGGCAGCAAGTCACCTTCCAGACACAGCTCACGCCCGGATCAAAAACCGTGCTGCCTTCCAAGGACAAAAGACGACGCACATCCCCACTACCGGTTCGGGCCTCCACCCTAACCAAGATATCGTAAAGGGGCGGGGCCTCCGGCCTCACGCTGATGACGGCGTAATAGTCGAACATGTACGCCCCCAGGCGCTCGTGCAACTCGGCCAGCATAACAGACGGCTTCACAGGGGCCAACGCCCCCCATTTCACAAAGAACCAGGTGCTGCACCAGCCGCCTACCCGGTAAGGGGAACACGATACGTGTCCACAACAAGAACCATCGCAGACCAACGGTTCCCATTCTTTGGGCGCCAAACGCCGTGCTCGAGGAAGCGGGTGATCTCCCGACATGATGCCCGCATGCAAAATGGCTGCTACGCCGTAACCGTGCGCGCAGCAAAGAAGACGAAAACCGAGAAAATTCCTCCCCGAATTCGTCGTGGCCTCCACACACGTCGTCACCTGACTGGGTGGGCAGCGTCAAACTACGCCGGTGAAGAAACGTCTCCGACGCCTTTCGGTTCCACTTGTTGTTTCCAAGAAAAAGAAGAATGCCGCCTGGCATACGGACTGCTACCCATAGCAAACAAACGCATCTACTCGAATGCTACCTCCTCCGGGTACAAAAATCCCTTTCCATACCACCCCACTACCCGTTTGTGGTTGGCCCGCCGGGCTGCGGTATCTCCACCCTTTGCTCGTACTCACGATCGTTCTCAATCACCCAATCACTGTCGTGCTTGTCTCCACATGGTCTCCCTCCTTGTGCACACAGTAGGAATTAGAGACCAGCTTTTGAATGGAGCTATGTGAGAGGCTTATGAGATCCTGCGCAGTGTAGTTCACTGCACAAATGAGCGCGTGTAGTTCTGGCCAAGAGCTGCAATTGCACGAGAGATTGCGGACCGTGACGAGTTGGATCAGGGCTTCAAGCGCTGCCTTGCGATTGACTGCAGCCCGAAGAGCATCCATCTTCTTGTCTCGCTGATTGCTTTGAGGCATTTACTTCGCCTGCCTTGGCGAAAGCATCCTGGATGAGGTTGTCGCGCTGTCTCTTGATCGGATGATCGGGGGCACTGAGCTCAATTCCGTGGGCTTTGAGCAAGTGGCGGCGAAACGTAGTCGAAACGGTGGTGGAATAGGTGGGGTCCCGGCAATGCATACAGTAATAGATCTTCTCGTTCTTACGGGGGCAGCGCGCTGGCTCCGCGTCCTGCGGCTCGCGTGCGTGCGCCCAAGTGTTGGCGGTTGCCTGTCGTTTTCGAGTCTTACGGACGCTGGAATCAGAGGGGTTCAGTGGAACAGAATTTGAGGATGGGAAGGTCTCAATAGTGGACGATGGCGACCCCACATGGCTAGTGTAACCCCACGACATACGGGAGACTGCTGGGACATGCCGCGTTGACCGCATCACGACGTGCCGTGTTCATGCTGTTCTCGAACCGGAAACCTGACGAAGTTCCTGGTAATTTCGCCCCCCTGCATTGGTTCGGTAGGGTTAACAATTTTCCGACTTTATTCCATACGTATGGAATACGGGCAGCTCGTATGGAAGAATATGGAGTATGGAGTATGGAATTTTCCATACTCCATCACTTATTCCATCCGCGTATGGATAGAAAGCCTACCTATTGTGTGACACATGCTACTTTTAGGCAGTGCCTTCGAGGCTTCGCCGGCAGGCTTGTCAACACATAAATCCGAATCAAATGGACTCAAATGAATTCAAATCTATCCAAATCTATTCAAATCCAAATTGACCAAATTGATTTGTAATCAAATCAAATTGAAGAGCTGGATTTATTTGCACACCTGGGCACATGGTTAAATATGGTTATTTGGGGAGCCGTAACCATAACCACGAATAACCATCAAACTCGGAACCATAACTGGTTATAACCACATAACCATATCGTAACCATAATTGGCAAGGCGATATCAAGTGATCTAAACGCACAACAGATTTATGGCCATGCGGTGTAGCCGGGGATAGCGGACATCTGCTCGCTACGAGACCACCATTCGAGGGGACTGCAGTCTATCCGGAAAGTTGGCAGCTCGATGAAGGCGCTGAAGTCATCATCATCCCTTATATCGGCTGTGATGACCTCTATATCCTTCATAAGCAAATCTAGCTCAGCGCCACGCTGATGGGAGGTTATTGCCAGTAGAAGCGACGGCGATGGTGTAATATTGTCTGAGCCGACCTGCAATACACCGAAGTTCGACTCCCATAGCTCTTTCGCGGCCGCAATAGCGGGTTTCACCCATGAAGTTGGCCAATTTTTACGGATATATGCCGCTCTACGGGAAGGATTAAGAAGAAGAGCCGCAGCATAGACTGTAACGGGCAAGCCGCTTGAGCGGCGGCTGTGCCGCCGAGCTTCTAGAACCTTCCATTGATCGAAGCTATAGAAGTGCTGTTATGCTCTCATAAAGTTGATTCACTTTCTTTCCTCTTCATCTTGATAGAAAACAGCATAGGAACTAGATAGTTGAATCAACTTACTAGCGGCCTTTCACATAGACCGGCGTCTCGTCAGTCAGATTATAGTATTTATTCTGCACAAACCAACCCATTTTATTAGCCCGGACCATTCGGGGATCTTGATGGTCTTTTTGAGAGTAGTACGCCTTGTTTTTCTCGTAATGGGCCAGGAGAGCATCCATCAGAGGCAGCGACTGCGATATTAACGACTTCTCCCCTTCTGCATAGAGCGTGGCGGAAGCAAATGGCTGGAGGAATGTGCGAGCCTTGTCAAGAAAATCCTAGTCCTAAGCGTTAAGGCGATTATTGCCTAGAACTGCTTCATGATCCGTGATAAACGCCTTAATCTCGGCTTGCTTTATGATAGCTCTGTCTATGACCAGGTACCAGGAGGACCATCGGGTTCTGTTGTCAATACTAAGCCGAAGACCGACGCTGTCATCCTAAATATCGGCGTGAAGGGACGAACTGCGAAGCTAGGCGGCTAGTTCGTGGAGCTTGCGTAGGGGAGTTAAGCCCTGGATGCTAGAAAACTTATTGTTTCCGGCTTTAAGGCTGCCCCGGCCATCGGGGCAGTAAGTATGCTCGTGGTCAGACCTGCTTCTGTACCGCTCTTCTGATGGCGTACAATCTGTTCGCTGTTTCTGCCTCTGGGAGTTGAGGATATCCGAAAAGCGCGCTATCAGTTCTTCTCTAGAGACGTCGGCTGCAGATTCTAAGGCGGCAAGAAGACCTTCCCGCGATGACGCTAGTAAAAGAGCCTGGAGAGAGAGATGGATGATATGGCCTATACATCTGATGGTGTTGCCCTCCTCTACAGTAGAGTGTTAGGGCTCTGTCACGGTGAGAGTGTGGTTTTCCGCCCCATTCATTTCAGTGTCAGGTGCGTCCTGGACTGTCATGGGGGATTGTGTAGCTTCGACAGGCTTTGCTACTTGTTTGGAGAGCTCCCATCGCACGTACGCAGTTTTGCCTTGCTGGATGGCATAGCTCTGTTCAGTCTTGGAGAGTGCTCGGCTGCCATGTGCTGTGCGCTTTGGGAGGGCAAAACATTCTGAGGATCCTGCACCGTGCGGGCCAGAGCAACCTACGCATGTCGGGTGGGTTTCGCAGTTTTCCAGGTCGTGGCTGCGGCTGCCGCAGTTGCCGCAGACCTTTGGTTTCTGACATTGTGTGGGTGGGTGATAGAGGCTAGAGCCAACACGTGTCACATAGGATGAGGCGCGGGGGTTTTGTAAGCTGGAAAGAGAGGTCGCCGAGGCCGAAGAGGCGAAAGCGGCTCTTTAGGGGTTGGTCGAAATGGATGATCAGCGTGGTTGTGAGATTGTCGGTTTCGGTGCTTCTCCATCGGACGGGGTGAAGTCCAGTTTGCTCCTTGATGGCTTCTTCAACAGTTTACTTGTAGTCGAGTTCTGTGCCATCCCATGACGTGATTGTCCGCGGGAAATTCTTGATAAGGTATGTGTGCCATTCAATGTCCTTTTCCGCGATCTCAAGCCCAACCAGGGGACCCCAAAGTTGCTGGTTCTGAAGAATCTTTTGCTGGATAGCTATGGTCGAAGGGGTTAGGGCAAATCCCGTGTTGGTTTCTTTCATGTCCAGAAGGTCTGCTAGTTGCAAGTGTAGCTTGTCGCGTATTGCTAGTTGAATCTGGAGTGATTTGTCGAAGAATTTCGAGTCCTTACGGAGACGGATCAGAACCCTCTTATTAGTTCTTGGTGTTTGCGCTTTACGTCTCGGGGCATCCTTGGGCGTGATTTTGCGATTTCCGGGTTGCGTCTCGTTGGCAGCGCGCGTGACGCCGGCAAAGGTCACTGTTTTCTCGAGTGGTGCTGTGCGCGGAGTTTTCTCCACGCTGTCTAAGATGGCGGCATGGTCAGGGGCTGGCGACGCGCGATGGGAGGCAGCCGACCAGTGCTGTAAGATCGTCGAGCGGAGGTGCTGCGCAAAGCGTTTTCCGTATCCAGAAGAGAATTGCTCAGCGCATTTTGCAATTGCCTGTGAGTACGCGCGTAGGATGCTGGCGCGTATGTCGAGTTGGTTCTAGGCTTCCGCGATGAGGACTTCGGCGTCTGCGAGAGCGTCGTCGGCATCTTGGTTCTGGGCCGCTAGAGGTACGAAGCGGTTCATGTTTGGTCGTTGCTGTCGTTTTTCGGCTGCCGGTCGCACGGACTGCTGTCGTATCGGGCTACTGCTCTCGGTGAAGGGGCGAGTGCGCACTGGGATGCTGTCGTGCGTGATCAATCTCTGCGGGCCTTCTAACAGGTTGGGGCTCACAGAGGTCAGCGCTAGGGGCATTTGGTGGCGCAGGCGCCATGCCGTTCGGCGTGCGCTTCGGGAATTTGTGCAAATTTATTACGATTTATTCCACTATCTTTCTGGTCCAAAAACACAAGGTATGGCGTACCCTATGATGTAGATGAAAGATGTTGGCCGGCATCGCAAGAGACCGACGCTCTGCTGTAGGGTAGGAGGCCCAGGTCGCTCGCTGGTGGCGAAACTGGTCGGCACTATCCACTACAGTACGGGCCGCCTTTTGTCGCGTCCTACTGGCAGCTGAAACATGGCCGAGCCAGTGATTACCAACCACGAACCGAAGACACCGGCTGGCAAGGAGTCCCCGCACGATGGTTTACTACTCCCAAGGCTTGCCCGTCTAGACGCGGGAAAAATTACTTTGACATCCTGGACGCCATCCTTAAGAGGAGGAGCGGCGCATATTCCGCGTCTGGAAGGGGTTCACCCTGGCCGAACGTACCAAGGATACAGTGTCTTGGATTTGGGACTACGGCGTTGAGATTTAATCAGAAGCATCCAGGTGATAAATATGCATGCCGTGCGTGCGCCAAAAAAAACATCATCACCACAGTCATACGAATCGAAAGGCACACAGAATGCCGAGCACCACCTTTAGAAGTCTCACAGCTTCTAAAATCCGTCAGGACGACGACGAACGCCACTGCAGACGAAAGGGAATGAAAGCCTTCGCATCTATCACAAACCTCATGGGACTCAAACGTTCAGAGCCCAACGACCAAGCCCTGGCGAACAACCTGATCCGCCGATTCGATCAAGCCGAGTTCCAGAAGCTGGCGGTGAACTGGATAGTAGTGAGCCAGCAATCATTCAGGCAGGTCGAGCACCCACGCTTTCGACAAGTATTCGAATATTTGGACTCCACGGTGCATACCACTCCTACTGCAGGCGCAACATGCGCAGCCTACTCGTCATCGCGTTCCAGCGATGGTGGGACGAAGTCGATCGCGAAAGCTCTCGTAGACTCCAACTAAAGGCAGAACTGAAGAAACTTCCCGAACTAACACTTCAGCGACGGCAGCTAGGATATCTCTAGCAGCGAGGACACACCATGGAGACTTCGCCGACTACCACAAGCGCTTCAATCACGAAGACGCCGACCTCAACTGCCCATGCGGGCGTCGGAAGTCTCCCACTCACCTCTTCTACTGCAGGAAGATCCCCCGCAGCCTCAGACCTCGATTCGAAGTTCAACAAACGATAATAAGGAGCAGAAGGCGCCCTCAACTGGCGACTGAGTGACAAACAAATCGCCCAAGCAGCGCTAACTGCTTGTGAGAACACCAATTTTCATTTCTTTTGTTACGTGGAAACACGCGTCAACGAGCCTCACGGCATAACAAGGCTGTAACACAGCACAAGCAGCTCTCCGCTGACGGAAGCCGCTCCTCGGAAAAAACTGCCAATTGAGAAGAAATAGTTCTGTCTCGATTAGCGCGCAGCTGCTACTATAGGAGGAGACTTGGGTCATGAAGCTGTTTTCGAAGCCCCTGGTGAGAACGTGGACACGTCCCCGGACGCGCCCCGTCATGCTCCCCGGAACGGCGACACAATTGTCCGTTGAATATAGATAGCACGTCTCCTTGCTTACACCAGAGCTACCACATAGACGTTAAATAATAACATAACATAACATAAAGCGATGCCGGCCAACTGGTCATTCCATCCGTATCGTCAATCAAAATGAACAATTCCTTTGGATTGGTTGATTACATAACAATTCGAGACGCGGGTTGACATTGACGGGTGTTGAGGTCAATCTGTTGGTCGATCAGTGGATTTCGTAGTTTGATTCCTCACCCTGGCGGCCAGCATTCAAAAGCTGGCGAGCCTCAGCTGGGATGTCAATATCTTTGAGCGATATAAACCTTATCAGCACAGAGACACCAACGTCAGCCATCGGCAGTTTTTCTGCTATGCTAGTGAGGAGTTGGCACACCCGCACAAAGGACTCTCCCTGTAGGCACATCGATTGAGGGTGAACTAGCATAGCCATAGCTGCAACCTGACAGGCGTACAGCATCCAGTACTCGTGCCGCATCCCAAATGCGGTTCTGTAATTCCAGAGTGTCGACACGATGGCATTACTATTCGCCAAGGAGAGCGACGCTGCTGTCTGTCCACCTTCGAAGCCGAGAAAGGATAGTTGGACGAAAGGTTCAAGTAGCCTAATGCTCGTTGTATAGTAGGACAGGCTATATATGAATGTCAATATTTCAAATCTAATAACAATTTGGATGAACCTCAGATAATAAGGTAGGGGGCAAACACTGTCACGTTATGTGAGGCAGTTAGCTGTCATTGATTCTGTTATTGTTCAAAAGCTTGTCCCTTTTCTCCTAGATAGGCTCATGTCATTTATCTTGGTTCCGAGGAAGGCGTCCCAGCCACCTGACGAAGTCAGGGAGGCTGGCCAGCCTTCCAAACTCTAATATCCATGATTTTATGACATCCAGCAATTACGTCAAGACTGCTTGTCTTTTCAACAGAGGCAGAATTATCCGACAAACACAGGTTCCTTACAAGAGAAACATTCGTCGCGGGAGGTGATGGCCATCACCTTTGACCATCTCACCCATCGACACCTTTGCTTTGATCATCCGGTATGACAGGTCCTTGGTGCTACTGTAATCCGGGACGAGACATGCCCGGTTCGCTGATATTTGAAGCAACGCCTCCCTCGCCAGCTCGGCAAAGGCACAGTCGGCAACGAATGCCTCTGCAGAGTATGACAAACAGGAAGGCGACGACAGAGGATGAGGGAGCCACAGCCTGCGATGCGAGTCGGCTCCATCGCTTATTCTTTCTGCCAACAGCGGCTTCCGAAGCACCATCTGCCGATTAAGCAATAGTCCGAGTTTGCTAGAGACGTATTAGGTATACCTATTACCCCGTGGTGTTGATCATATAATAACAGCTGCTTACGCGTCGAGACAGTAGAAACCCCAAATACAAGCTATGGCTGTTCTTGTATCCTGCGCACGCAAGGACGCAGTATTGTCGTTTGGTAAAGGACAAGCTGCTAGCCATTCCATAGGAGAGGGCAGCAGATGGAGTTTCTCCAAAAGATAAGTGGCGGTGGCCGTTTCGCCAATACTTAATTTATAAACTGCTAATATAGCAGTGCCTTGCAGAAAGGGTAGAGAGGGCTTTGTTTCTTCAACTTCGAGCAAACGAAGGGCTTCATCAGCGAAGACGCGCCCGGTCGGGGTTATGCAAAGGTCGCTCTGGAGTACATAAATCTGGATGTCTCGGATAGCGTACATTAGCGACAGCTTGCGATTGCAGTATCGAGGTAACGAACAGTAGAAAGGGCTAAAATTGAGTTGATGAGATATTCTGAGCAGAATTCAATTTGGCCTGCCTCTTTGAGGGTGGCTACACCGTCAAGTCCAGTACGCAGGTCGTCCACGAGCATGGCCTCGTGAATGATTTTGGTGAGAGTATTGTCCCAGGTCCAAAAGAGGGTATATAGGTACACAAGCACTTCTTCATCCATGCTAATGCTCGTCCATAGGGAGATTGACAGCCTAGTTTGAATAGCAGTTTCCGAGTCATGCCTGTCTGTTCTTGAACTGCCGCTTGCCTCTTCGGGCGCGAAGGCGGTATTTGAAGCACTGCGCCCGGCACGGGGTGGACTCGGTGGAGGGGCCACTGGTGATAGTCTGCACCAATTCAAGCGCTTCCTCTACTGTGGGTAATGCCCGTATCGAGCCGAGTAAATTGAAGACCTCTGGCTCACCCATACTGCGAAGTTCTCTGACGACATCATGGAGTCTCTGATGTTCGGCTATCGTCGTTTTTTGCTTTCGGGTTGATGTTTTGGGCTCCGAGTACTTGCAGCCCAGGCCAGCGTGCTGACAGTTATGACAATATGGCCGCTTGCCATCACACTGATGAGCGTCAGCGACAGAACTTCATCTACAACCCTATTTAGGTTTAGTAATCGTGCTGTTACTGACCCGGACTTTTCGCTGTCGGCACCCTGCAAGGGCACGGTAAGCAGGTTTGACAAACAAATTTCACTACTTAAGGGATGGGGGATTAGATTTACGGTCACACGCCGTTGGCACGGCTTTTCTATTCCGTCTTGGGGGTGCATGAACCGGCACCGGCACCGGCGCCACATCGTCCATTGCAGCCTTAGGTAGAAGGTAGCGAGCTTGACTGGACGCCATACTCTCTGTGTCGACCGGAAAGTTGATTTGGGAAAGACCGTGGTTGCGCAGAAAATGATGGCAAAGTACGAGATCGAGTAGCGCGGGAGCTCCAGTGATGATGCAAGGAGAAAAAAGTAGGCACGTGACAAAATCAGGCAAGTTGTAGAAACAGCGTGGGCAAGTATCCATTTGGCACAAACAGCATTGTCATCAATGCCTCCCCGTAGTCGTCTGCGTGGCCCCTATAGCCTGCGGGAGCCAGCGTTACCTCATAGCGCGGCGTATCCCTTACAGCAAGCCGTAAACAAGGCCGGCCCTGAAATTTGCCACTGATCATGGTTGAAGGTCGTCCATGACGATGCACCTCCTGGCGGCAGGCGTTTGAATATGCTGAGACTGTGGCCGTGACTGTAACCACTTGACGAGGAAACGCCTGTGCATGTCAAGTACGCGTCGTGCAATATGCTTGCACGCTGAAGTTCACTAATAATCCGCGTTTTATTAGTCCAAGAGCACCCGATTTCCTATAGGAGCCGTGATCCTTAATAGCAGTAATGTAAAGGACGGAAAAGCAGTGGGGCCCACCGTTTTTGCCATTCTCCCAAGGCGCTATGCCACACGCATCCGAGTATGACGCGCCGTTGACGAGGTGTGACAACTGACATCCTTCCGAGTGGCAACTAGACAGCCCAGTGTGGGAGCATCATCCAACGGCTTCCTGGCTGGAAAACGCATTCGTGTAATCCACAACCATGGCAGTATCCTCAAATGCCTCGGCTTGCGCCTCTGCCTTGGCCGCGTTTGGGTCAGACATTGCCAAGTCCAAATCCAACATAAAAGTAGCGCGGACCTCGCCGTGAGGCAATGGCGATGGACAATCGTTGCCTAGATCGACCAAGATTTGTCGTGCTTTATCACTCGATATACCGCCCCTGCGCATTGCCATCGACAACAGCCCTCTGGCGATCGGCTTGACTATAGGATACGATGTCCACAGGCTCCGATATCCATACAGGCAGAGCAAGAAGTAGAAAAGCCAACCTTCACCCCGACTGCGGAGTACAGCATTAGCTACATACAACATAGCTGTATGCCAAATAATGGTGTGTCCAGAAGAAACATATTGGGAGCGGTAGATGATGATAAGCCTCTTGAGCTGCTCCACTGAGGCTGCATATATCGCGTCCGCATTCGTCCTTGAGTGACGAGGGTGATTTGATCGATGCGCATCCGGAACTGCTTCCAAAAAGGGCCGGAATATATCGAGTATAGCTGCATGGAGCCATAAACTTTACACTATTAGCACGGCCCAGCTGGGTTACACATATATCGCAATGAAAGAGCACCGGCACTCAGTCGTCCGTCCAAACTTACTGAAAAATCACCACATGGTGCGGATTGTCCTCGTTCCGTGTCAACGCCAACGGTAAACGGTTCATCATTTCCATCAGGCCCTGAAACGTATCCTCAGCAAATTTAACCGGTACACGGCCGGAAACGGCCCCTGCCTCTCCGTTGTAGTAGACAATGGCCACTTCGTGCATTTTTCTCCATAACTCGCAAAATAAAACAAACGCCTCGTCACAGTATTCGGACAAATCCGGAATTGTTGCATCCAACAAGTGTGCATTGTCGCTTCCTCTTGATTTACGAGGAATCGGAAGGCTTGGGGGCGTGGCAGGATACTCCATACCAGGTTGGTGATAAAATAAGCCCAGTAGCCTAGAGTTATCGGTTCAGTTAGCAGGGTGCAAAAGCTTGAGCATTTGGCTCCTGCACATACATGATCCAATTGAAGGTACCCCACGCCGAATATGCGGTAGCTCTTGCCTCTCTAGGTGCTAAATTGTTTGCTGGGGACTGATTGACCTCTGATGTTTTGCCAAAAAGGCCGAGTTGTGTTCCAATCCGGGTAGCTTCAGAAAAATATACCAAGAAGAAACGATCCCTGCCTTGCACCAAGTAACCGAAACCCAGAAACTGCGCTGATGCCATGGTCAAAACTGACGGGGCCATCTTGTCAATGTGCCACAGCCTTTCGGCCTCCGTACGAAATGCATCGACAAATTCGCGTACCTCACTATCGATCGTTATGTACATCTGCTGGAGTTGCATTAGTTGTCAGGAGCAGCAACTTAGCTCAAAAGCCGTATTTAGCGTACTCACACAGGCCCAGTACATGAGAGCATTTACAAGGAGATTTGTGCAAAGGGGACCCTCCGTGATAAGATCGTCAATGAAGAGCTCAGGGTCAAAAGGACACAGGGCTGGATGCTCAGTCTCCAGGTAAAATGATATGATCCGACATGCAAGATCGTTCGGAACTGGGACATTCGTCCATTTTCTGATTCTGAGTCGGCGTAGTGTATCGTATTGACGTATCGGTGTCGCAGACGACCGTGATTTCGCACTGTGAGATCTCGTTAGCAAGGAAAGTGTCGCGGCTCGTATGATCACAAGTCGTGGTATGCTCGGTTTGAAGTTCTCTCGAGGATAACTGGCTCATAGCGTAGAATGTGCTTGGCCCAATCTTCGATCACCGACCAGACTTAAAACGCACGGTAGAAAGTCGGATGGAAACTTATATGAACCTGACTCGGCCAGCCGCTGGAATAGACTGCTCTGCATGCAGACGTCGAGAGGGTCTAAAATCGGGTAGGCCGAGGGGTATCGATTCTCAAGGTCAACTGTGCGCGAGAGGCTGTCCAACTCCGTCGTCACGGCTTGTGGGTGCCTTTCTAGCTCCGTGACTCGCCCTCGCAAGTGTGCGAGAATAGAGGAAGCGTCCGTAATGTCTTTTAGTGATCTCAAGACAGTGATAGTTTCCTGAGGCGGAATCTTATTGAGCAATTGGACGGCCTCGATGAGACCGTCTCCACTACTACCAGTCGAATTGCTTCCTGTATTGCTGCGGCTGGCACGACCTGTATTGCTCTCAGAGCTACCACTTTCCCTGCGAGGGATTTTCGGTTCGTAGATGCATTCGACCGACCGCTGTTCGCATTCATTGCAGGCAGGCAGCCTGCCATCGCACTATTCGCTCACTTGTCAAAAACGTCGCCCAGCACTTTGATGCCCATGGCTGGATAGCGATGTAAGACTTACACGTATCTTCCTTTTGCGGCATACTTCACAGGCAACTGCAACCCCGACTCGTTTGCGCTTGTTTGCCAGACTGGAGTTGACGGCAAGACCAGAGGATGAGCCTGGACCGGAGTCGCTGCTATCAGGTATCGGCCGCAGCGGGCGATACTTTCTTTCCATGGTATTGACAGCAATATCAATCTGATCCGTACATTTTGAATGGGATGAAAGCCGATGAGCCTGCTGTTGCCCCGTGGCGAGGAGCTCGCCACTGCTTGCCACTTGGAGCGACATATCATTGGCTCGGAGCCCCCAGCTCCGGGGCTCTCTGATTGGCCATGGCTGCCATAAGTCACTAGTGATTGTCCCCCCGTCTTCCCATGATTTCTGGTTACGGAGTGGAACAACAAATCAGTCATACTTATCTCGAACGCATAAAGTTGATGATAATTTCTCGACTGATAGAGACAGGTGCTGGCGCTAATGACTACTGCATCTAGTATTATTCTACATCTACATCGCTGCATGCAAAGCTCAAGCAGCTCAACTTGCGTCACTCCGTAACCAGACCTAATAGCAACATAACACGTGCACCTTTGGTCGATTAGCTAATAAATGCGGAATAAATCGTATGCGGCTACCTCTGAACAGAGGTGGAGAGTGCACGTCGGATACGTACCCATCTAGGAGATGAAGGACAGGCTTCTCAACAATAACAGACAGCTAACTGCCTCACATAACATGACAGTTCGGCATTCCGATCTGGGCCGATACAAGGGAAGTACCTCTCTCTCAAATGCAGGAAATACTTTGAAGAGCAAGTGAAGAGAATTCGAATAGAAAACAAGCAGAATTATCTAGTTCCAATAATGTTTGTACAAGGCTTAACTGGGCCCGCGCGAGCGGTGCCAATCTCTTAGTCCCTCTTGAGTTTTTCTTCAGCCATGGCAGCCGCGGAATGAGTCGAACCCATTCTAGATAAGAGCACCGTGCTTGGGTCACGGCGGATACCTTTATCTGCGCTGGCGATATCGTCTCAAAGATTATAGGAGTAGTCCCGCTCTCTTGCCGCGGTGCGGCTTCTTGTGGTTCGACTGCCGCTTCGTGACGCAGCTGTACAAAGTCCATGCCCTGAGCTGCTGTCCTCGACCGCAAGACTAAAAAGGCCCGAGGCGCATACAAAGTACGGCACTAAGGCTGACACCCGTTGCAGAGTAAAAAGATCGTCATAAGATTGCGCGAGCGAAAGAATAGCCTACACGGCCTGTGCACAAATCTCGTGCGGTCGAAGCTCAGCCATGGCAGATTCGCTGCCCATAAAAGGCCTGAAGAGGCAAAGCAGACAGAAGTGGTAGTAAGTACTATAGCTTTATTAGTAGCGTCAACAAATGTTCATTAAGATAAGCATGCCTGGCTCACTGAGTAAATAACAAAAACGGTGTCCTGCTTCTATCTCTACCAAAAAGCTTGAATAAGTCGCGGTACCAGCCGACACACAGGTTATATATCGATATTATTTCGTCTCGGCTCGATTGCGGCACAGACTCCGCAATGACCATGGCGGGTACCTAGCAGTCCGATGGCGTGTCCTAGCAGGTCTCTACAAAGCCTACTAGGCGGATCCCCCTACTAGCATTGATGCAATCGGACCAGCGCCCAAATTCCGCTGGGGGCCCTAACGTCCTGTGCCCAAATCCCCTGGTCTCTACCAAAGGCCACCTTATTTTAAAGACTGATTCCGTAAATAGCTAGCTTGCTGTCTGCCTTGCGCAAAGCGCCTGTAGAGGTCATCCCCATTTGGACATGGGTGACGAGCGTGATGACGGAGATAATTCGACGTACAGTCAGCGCCGGTAGCAGTGCTGAGGAAAGAAGATGGACGACGCGTTGGAGTAGTCACGTCAAAAGCTTGATGCCTAGCCAACGTGACAGCCGTTACGTAGTTTGATGCCGCTTGCACAGTAGGTGAGCGTACGAATATGCATCCGCCGCCCCCTGAAGTGGCTTAGTTCTTATATCATACTTTTCATACCTAGAAGAAAATGCCTTATTCTGCTCGTCGCGGCCATTTGGACTTGGTAGGCTGGAAGCCTGCATTCCGTCTGGGTGGCACTGCTCGAGTCGGGTGAGCACCCGCATTCTCCACAGCAGAGGTATGAGGCCCAGGGGGGATCGACTTGAGAAACATCCTGCCAGCTGTCCAGACGAGTTGCATGTCCATCCGTTCCGTGACGAATATCTCCCGCCCTAGCAAGAGCTAATGGTGCAGAGCACGGGGCGGCAAGGGCAGATCGGCGACCCAGAGCCAACCGTGGATGCTGGCGAGCCGATGCAGGTCAAGCTCTTCCTCGACACAGCCCGTGACATGCTGGCGGACAGCAGCCAAGTCACCAGACTCGCGTCAGGAACTGGTCGACGGCGTGTTGCTCGCCGATCTACCCGCCCGTCTTTCAACTAGGCTAGGAGTGTCTATTAGACGGCTTAAATCATCGTCCGATGATTCTGGGTTATTTCTCACGCTCTGCAACGCCAACAGTGATAGTCAAGCCTGTCGCCACAGTGGCCGCGCTGCTGAACATGCGGATGGCAAGAATCAGGACGGCCCAGCTGCTCCCTTGACCTATTTACCTCTCTATACATATATTAGTGCTTTCTCTACGGTCAAATAAGCATATTAAGGAATGGGTTAATGAGTACTACTGCTGGAAAGATTGGGCCTTGGCGCATCGCTTACGCTCGTCCGGCTAGACTTATTCTTCTCCTGCGAAGCTGCGTGTGAGCGCGTCTGCCGTTGCAGAATCACGATACTATAGTTGTATGTTTCTAAAAGTAAATGTTCAAATATTTTTACTATAAAATTACACAATGAGACTCATCTTGAGGGCTTTTGGATACGCCTGCAGTCAACGCAAGCTGATGGCCGCTGTTGCGTGAATACGGGCGCATCGCACCGCCCTCATCGTCTTCCGAATCATTACTACTGTTGTAATGACGAATCCATACGCCAAAGAGCCAGGCATCGGCACATAATTTCTTTTGTGACAAATAGTCCCCATTCTTACCAAAATTTCCGACCAAGGTATGTGTACCTTCGTGTACAAAGACATCAATACCTTTTCTGTGGTTGATAAAACCTGACCACTGCCCATTCCTTGCCACGGCGAAGTAGAGACACCTTTACATGTTGACAAAAAGATGCGCATTCGCTTGTGAGGTGCAAATCTGTGTCCCTGATTCCGTAATCGCTTTGACAAATAGGCGCAGAACCGTTGCTTCCGATTGAGTCCTAGTGGCAGATTTCTCGCCATCCAGATCGGTCAAAATGAAATCGGGATTGTAGAAGATCGTAAGTACTGAGGTCGGAGTTGATCGTCAACCGTAGGTTTGCCTACCGTCTTCGTCGTCAGTTCTCAGGAACTTGACTAGGTCCTCGGCCCCAATCTGGGCGTGTCGTCAGGCAAATGGGCTATAGCAGAGCACTCAACATTCTCGCCTTCGTGAGTTGTGTTTTCACCTGTCGAATCTTTCGGGCTTGGCGTCAGAATAGACATCGGCGCATTCCCAGCAGGGATGCGAACAAATCTGCCCGTCATCGAACTCAACTTCTATGTCGCGTGCGGGTGTCCTCTCTTGTTCTAATTCAGTTAGGAGAAGTCCGTCATCGTCGTCCAAAATTTGGTCAAATAGATCTTGGTCGGCGTGATGTAGCAAGTTTTCAACCAAGCAGTCGGCGTTCGGCCCTAGTGGTGCGTATTGTCCCACAAGAGAGCTATTTCCTGGCTTATCTTTATTTTTCGTGCCTCATTGGGAGTTAGACGAAGGTGAATTAGCATTGGTGGTTTTAATAAGCTCACCGTATTTTGCGACTTTTGAAGTTCTGTTTACACCTTTGCGTGCTCTGGTGTGAGGGTCCAGCGGGGGCTTTTTCGTGCGAATTTTGTAAGTGATCAGAGCAAATTCATCAACATAGGCGATAGCGAACAGGTGGAAATATACAAACCCAAAGTGTACTTTATGCAGTACAACAATCGAGATCGCCAACTCAAGGGACCGTCTTGCACCAGTCAAATCTTCAAGGCATGCTTTGACCTCATCCTCGAAGTAAGCAAGCGCCGCTCCCTGTTTCATGCGCCTGAGGAGGGTCTGCTGCAGTGTTGACAATTTCGTTGTAAACCATCACAGTCTATGTCTTGTGTAAGGTTTTAATGGTGATGACAAGCTAGTGATGACAGTCAGCTCCTGTGTGCCTGGACTTAGGTATGAAAATAGCTGACGTGGTCGGTCACAACTAATGAATTGTAATACTGTTGTAAATTCTTTTTCTTTAAAATCAAGAAATCTTCCGACTTAGCCTGATGGTTTACATGTAACAGAAAGCGTTCCGGCTCAAACCGAACTAGCGACAGTATGGCCCAGTTCAATCCAGTTGACCATGCTTTGCAGGGGCCTGGCAACACAGTGACGTCCACCTGGGACGAAAATAATACCCTGTCCGCCCCTACTCCTGGCCAGCCTTCCCTCCTGCCTTTGAACATCCCTGCATTCCTAACTACCGTCTCACCCGCAGACTGCAGCTTCAAGACCGTGCCAGGCGCGTCCGGGCCTTCTAGCACGCCTCCGTGGCCGTACCGGTCTGCAACTATGAGGTCAAGCAGCCGAGACTTAATCGGAACGCTAGAACGGCTGTCCACGCTCCGTGGCGACTGTTTAACTCGCGGTAGGCATCGGTGCGTCATATCGCGAGCCTTCGGTATGAGCCAGGCACGCGAACGAGGAACTCCTGAAAGAAAGATACTGGATAATGAAGGCGACCATGAAGGCGACCATGAAGGCGACCATGAAGGCGACCCTATCGGGGATGATAACGTCGGTTTTCCAGAGTCCGCACACATTCTACCGTTCTCATTGGTCCGCATTAGATCGGAAACCGAAGAATTGGGATGTATTCAGCGTTGCGGCTCCCGCTACGTACTCGTCATTCTTCTTGTTTTTGGATACGGACCTAAAGCACGCAATGCGCCTTCCGGCTCTCTCATGTCGCACACGTGGGCAGCGTTTCGCCTGTTTGTCGGCGCCTTTTTTCTTTTTTTCTTTTTTTGGGGTGGCTCTGGTCTATGACCGTCTCCGCATCTTTTTTTGGCGTGGCAGCCGCCTGGTGAGGCCCCGACCCTCCCATGTCCTTTCCGGCCGTCGTTCCGGCCCTCCATTTCCAGGCGCGCAGACCACTTTCTGCCTGAGCCAGCGGGTCACGGGAAAGGCCAAGATGAGCTAGATCGTTTGGCACAATTTCTGGTTACGTGGTGCGGGGCGGCGCCTTCCCGCCAATTCGCCCTGCGCTGGCGGCTCTCGCTTGCCCATTGTTGCACTTGTGAATCTCTTTTCTGCGTTTCCCTCGCCATCTTTGCCACACCTTTACGCTCGCTCTCCTCGCCGTCCACTGTCTTCTTACGACCCTGCTGCCTCACTTCTCGTCGGATGATAGCGGCTTCTGGCTCGTCTATTGCCTTGCTCTTGCCGACTTTGCTTGCTCTGTTCCATGACGTGCAGATCCCATCCACGATGATCAACCTGGCCCGTGGCTTCCTACTCGTCCAACTATTGACCACCCAGTAGCCCGCCCCCATGACGGGGCCAAGTAGTGCGTTCTGCCCTCTTCGTTTGTTCACTTTACGGTTGTGAAACCTGAGTCGCACTGATATGGGCAGCCATGGCTTGTTCAGCGGCACTTCCGGTCACAGCCGTCCAACCTCCTTTTCTCTGCCTGTTTCTACCTCGATTTTTGTGAGCAGCGGTGTCAGGTTGCTGTACCCGTGGTACTTTGTTTTGATTGTGGCATTTGTAGTTACTCTGTAGCATTCAACACATAGTAGCATAGATAGACTTCTATCCCACATCTTGCAATTTCATTCTATGAATGCGAAAGGCGGAAACATGTGTTTTTCAGCAGTGCGCGTCACAGAAAAGTGGACAAGCGCTGCCATATCTCAGCGAATGGACCAAAGCGCGCGCTATTTTCTCGCGTGCCATGGATCTCTTATTGCCAGCAACGCCAGCTGCGTATACCATCAGCGGACGCCAGCGTCTTGTGTGGTAGTTTTCTCTTTGTGAGCGAGACTGACTCCTATAGACATGCTGGCAACCCGGCAACTTCCATGCAAAAATGGAGAACTGGCACATGTGGTTGGCGTCTGGTCCAGTCAGCTCTCAGTGGCTACAACCAGTCCGCATGGACTACCCTGCATCGGCCCCCCGCATTCGCTCGCGGTTTCGATTCCAGAACGGGCTGCTTCTTTCGGGCCGACGACCGACAACAAGGAGAAGGTAGGCAGCTTCGCTGCCAAACAAAAATTTCGTAACATCGACGTGATCGACAAGCATGTGCAAGCTCGTCAAAAACTTCTCTTCCCGACAGCATCTTCGACTGCCGAACCCTCTACGGTCGCACGTATCAGCACTCGGAAACAACCGAACATCCGTGTCTCAACGGTGAGAGGCAGAATACCGCCCTGGATATAGCCCACCACTTCATCAAATCACTTTTGGGCGGCCGACTCTTTGAGGCCCCGATTCATGCAAGGCTACACCGTATTCTAGACCTGGGTACTGGCACTTGAATCTGGGCCATTGGCATGGCTGACGAGTGCCCATCTGCGGAGATACTTGGATTCGATATTGCATCAATACAGCCGATCTGTGTCCCACCAAACTGCGACTTTCGAATTCATGATGCGCAGTTTCGCTGGAATTTCCTGCAGCTACCTTTGACTTCGTGCACATCTGTGAACTCTAAGGAGGGCTGCCACCTAATGACCGTCCCAGGGATCTTGTAAAGCGCCAGCTACTCGGAGAAGAATGCGCATACTCGGACTCGACTATATGGCAAGTCCTAACAGAACTACAGTTAGCCACCAATATGAGCCGCCGAATACTTCATATAAGACTATTGGAGGCTATTCCTAGCAGGAGCGAAGAGAATTGCATAGCATGATAAAAGTGTCCCAAAATTTCCAAGTTGAACGGTTCAGCTTGCACCACTGTGTGTCTTACAAGCTTTGCTCGCAGAAGCTGCACACAATTCGAACCAGCCTACCTCTAGCCGCTTCATCATCGAAAACCTGTCCATGATCAAACTGTGGGAACCATTCCACTTCCAACCCGTCATCTCTCCACGCTTCGTCTTTCCAAGCCTTTCCCTTCAGGGTTGTATCTTTCGGGCCCATAAGATACGCCCGAATAACTTTCGTGTCGGTTACTATGTCTCTACCGGCCAAAACGACGGACACGCGATGCTTGCTAATGTCTTCCGTCCACAAGACGTTATCAGCCCAGAAGAAGCGCCGGAATAACGTATGGGAGATGCCCATGTCCTTAGAACCAAAGTAAGAGAGGAGGTATTCATTAGCCCGGCGTGGTTCCCGACAGATCTTCAGCATCAGAAGTTAGCAAATGATACGAAATTGTGAATAGAGCAAGCATACAAAATTATACGCCACATCGGGTAGATGGAGGAGGAAAGACACAGGATCAACAAATAGAACCGGTCCAATCTTTTGCACAATTTTTGGGCTGCGGAGGAGATGCGCCGCAACCACACTCCCATAACTGCAGAAGGTCAAGTTCAGTATATAGCTATGTCCATGAGGATTGAAGCGCCAGTAATATGACCACTTACGAATGCGATACTAGGACACATTTGTCCCACCCATGTGCTTCTAATATGTGACGAATCTCGTTGCATATTTGCTCTTTTGACATTGCCTCTGCCGTTATTCTAGAACTGACAGACATAATCTCTATAGCGATGATTCCCAATTGCCCGTCAAGTGAACGCTTAGCACCACTGGCATTAATGTCAGCCAGAAAATCTATATATGGGTAAAGACCGATGCCGATGCCGTGAATGAATAAGACAGGCAGTCTAGTCTTCGACGTATGCGGCCGGTGCCAGTATGTGAGGGATTCTGCAGGAGAGCGATAGCTGGAAAAGACATTGTGAGGGCGTGCGGGGAAGATAGCCAAAGAGCGCAGAACTGCGTGCGGTAGAAGTCGAAAGAGTGGTATCGCAAGTGAATCGACGTCAAAAGATCGACAATGAATACACACTGCAACGAGAACATCAGCAAATTAACTTGTAGAGAATGATTATGCCGCTGTAGAAACTTACTGAATACCACGTCAAGCTCCGATGCAACATCTCAACCTTGTCGAGAGTCAGCCTGAGGCACTCTGCCCTGCCTCGGCCAGGCTGTAACTTCCTCCCCAACAACGTCTCCATCTCTCTAACATACTCCTCCAGTTCATCCTCGTCTGCCGATTCAATTTCTCCCGTATTCAAAAAAGCCCACCGGAAGAAATCCTTGACGTTCTCTCGCTTGATTTCTGCCTCTGCCGCACCTCGGAACCATTTTCTCAGATATTGGACCGGATCAGGAATCGTTTCATGACAGCGCTTGAACAGCTTCCTGCGATCCTCACGGCAGGGTAGTGTGGGGTGCCTAGCGGCCTTCTGTAGGTATTTGCTGTACGGTAGGTAGACGACGAGATAAAAGCTAGCCTCGAGGGCGAGCCACACCTGAAGAGCCTGGGGAAGTTGGAAGGGAAGGCCAACCAGCACGTTGACCAGAGTATAAATGATACTGACAGGTGCGATAAGGTGCAGGAAGAATATGCACGCCCGAATGAAGATGTAATCCCATAGTGACGTTCCTATCATGGTGTATAACAGGACTGAGACGGCGCGAATGCTCGGCGTAGGTTGCGATCTCAAACTAATAGGTACAAATATCCGTCATAAGAGTACTTTGCAGACCATTGCGCAAAGTACTTGGGTTGCCAAGCTTTTAAAGATAACTAGTTCTGTGGCGAGTGTGGTGAGCATAGTCGAATCAATATACCATATTTGTTGGACGAAATGGGAAGCCGATTCTGTTGGGGCTTTCACATGCAGTCCCACATTTGCATGATGTACTTCGCACCGCAGATGAGAGATAATTAGCATGTGAAGCACGAATTTGCCAGGATCTTGTGAGTATTGAAAACCTTCTGATGTCATACTGCAATGACGTCGGTGGTGGTTAATAATTAGTCCCGTGTCTGGTCCTTCGCGAGCTATCATACCATTTGGGCTGAGGGCTGGGGGCTTTGACAGGTACCGACAAAAAACAGTCGCGCATCATGACCTCTCAAGGCATGGTGGTGGGAGCATGACATCTGCAACAACAAAAATAAAATGCCGTCTTAGTATAAATATAGGTGTTGTTTTGGTGCAGGCTGATATAGAAAAAGAACTGTATCGATATGAGATCAACGACCAGAGCATTTCATAGCAGGTTCGTGTCCAGCTAGCTTAAACGACCTGCGTCCATGATACTCGCTGCCAATGCCCATGATTTCATAAACGGGTGGCAAATGCGACCGTGGCGGTGCTCAATCTTGCCTTGTTTTCGAGCCGAACTTTCGGCGTCAACCGCTATACAACGGTAGCACAGACAAATACGAATTTGCACTGCAAAAGCAATAGACTAACTAGCTTAAACTCGCTTCTTTGCTACAGGTAATACCAGCGACGGCCCAATTGTGCCAAGTGGCGGATGGCAGAGACAAGGGGCTTCTGCGATGATAGCATCTAGAGTCCATCCTTGAGGGGATTAAGCTGAAGCCCGGTGGAAGATGTCTTGCGTGCAGCAGAAGCCTTTGGTAATGGCCCACTACAGCACGCCCTAATCACATACTTACACACCCACTGTAACTAGACACGCACTAACAGAAGGGCGCCTCTCGAAAGCATTTAGACGTACCAGCTTGATCGTTGCGATCGAGCTATTACGATTCGCCGGAAAATATGAGCTTCCGCTTCTGGTAAGTATCCCATTTTCCAGCCGGCGGCAACAGCCGAAAAGTCGCGCCGGATTGCCAGCGTTATCTTCGTCCTATTTTGCACATAGCCAACTAGTAGATGGGACGGCAACTTCCCAGCGGTCATAGGCAGGGCTCTCGTCGGGGACAGAAACAGGCCACCAGTACTTTCTTGTGCGCGATCAGAAAACCGCTCATTTACTAACCAAGAGATTGATTTTTACTGTCAATTTCGTCAGAACGAATTTGGTAGTAATCCAATCATATGGTGTGGCGTGAAACTAACATAATAGATGTGGTGTCTTAGATCCATTGCGCGAATCATAAGAGCCCAGCCGGTTGTTATTTCATACCCACCTATAGCTATTCTCTACTTTGAATAATTATTTATCGCCTGTGTTATGTAGAGCATTAGGCACAGCTCTCTCAACGCTCTCGGAAAGCTACCAACTTGTTAATTCTTCGAAACTACGTTTAAGTAAGGCTTCATAGAGAGAGGTAATGAGAGGCCTTATGCGGTATAATTTGCCGTGGTTGCTCATGAAAGTATCGACGGCGGTCCTTCGCACATCTGAGTCGTCGTCGTCGAGCCGCCCCGCCACCGCCCGCCAACACCTCGTCAGGCAGGAATGAATCATCCAACTGTCCGTTGCACGTCTATAGTGCATTTTGCCTCAAGCCTGCAAGGGGTGGTTCACCCTCGCAACAGCAAAAGAAATGGAGCTACGCAGCTCACAACAGAACCAATATCTCAAATACACATCATTGTTTTGCGATCTCTTCACACTGTAATCATGGCGCTGGTCTTTTGCGCTTTGACGATGCTAGGTAGTTGCATCTCTCCATGTCGTCGGGATGCATGCCTTCTCGTGCGTGGAATATTTTTGTTCTGTCGGTTGTGGCGACGAATTTTATGGCTACCGGTGTAACGATCTGCTGCTTCTGTCGTAGACAGTACGTTCGGTGCTGTTGTAATTGGAGCGGGTCTAGCGTTGGCGTTTGTCTGGGACGTTTTGCACCGCACTGCGGGGGCAGAGTCTCGGGCAAGTTGCCAGCGGTGTATTTGGTTTTGGTGCTTCTTTTGTCGAATCAGGCGTGCTGGCTTGCTCGTACCAAAAAGGCGCCAGATTCTAAAAGATTTTCTGGTTAAAGGAAACTACTAGCACAGTTGATGGTGTGGTACCATCATCCTTCCTGCGAATGTGGTAGTCCACGGGCAGGAAGCCCGTCTGGGCGAGAATTTCATCGTGGGCAGCTGCCATGACGGCCACTGCTTGCCCGCTAAATCATGTAGATATCTGGGGGTGTTTTCTGCGACGTAGGTATACCACGTATCCTTCTTGTCGGCCTTTGATGCCTTCAGTGCAGCGAGCCACTTATCTTGGGACGCTAAAATAGTGTCCCTTGTTTCAATGGAGTCTGGGTATATTGCCCAGCCTGTTGGGATGCGTCTCGCATCGAGAAGACTCATTGGATTGAGGGCTAAGTTGTCTATCAAGTGCTTCTTGATGCTGTAGTTGGAAAGTTTGTTTGCTGCATGGTCTGGCAGGCGAACTAGTATGTGGCAATCTGGTTTAGTCGGGCGCTTTCTGGATGCTTCCGGGGCGGCTGTAGCATGGGTATAGGCTATCTTGGCATAGGTTGGACGCCTCGCCGTCTCTATGCTAGCAGTTGGGGCGCTTGGCAGGGATTCTTTCATATTAAGTGCGGTCCAGACTTTCGGGAAGTTCTCGAGGGCTGCATCTATCACCCCTCTCTGTTCACACGTTTGCTGGCGCTTTGCAAAGCTCCCATTAAAAAAGCGTATACTTCCATCTCATCATCATAGCACTTCTGCAGCGCTGTAGCCATGCTCTGGTCGATCTGTTTTCTTCGATCGGCAGTGATCATATGTCCTGCTGAGCTTGGTTGGATTGGCTTTGTCCTAGTCGAATGATATGTTAATGCGGCTGAGAGAGCGACCGTACAGCTCAGTAAATACACCTTTGTGACAATTGAAGGCTCCTATAATCCAATCACGCATCGTATTAAGGGTTGGCAGACTGCCTGACTCAATAACAGCACTGTTTATGTATTCCATAAGCTTGCGGAAGTATGGACTCTCTAGCTTGTTGAAAGGGACGTTGTCGCAGGCCACCCATCGAATAAGCAACTGTCGAGAGTGTAGCGGGTCGAAGGAGGCTATAAGAGCATTCATCATAGCCTGGTCCTTCCTGAGCGTCCATGTCGAAGATGGTGCGCTGTTTCTTCCTAGGCTGTAGAAGGGGGTTCTGGATCACTGGCATCCATAGAAACTATTATCGGGAGGGACCCTAAGGGACCGCTAGGCAGAACACGTTTTCGACTGACTGGTGTCAAGTCGTACCTGCGTCGACGTGCGACGAAAGGGGGCGGGTCCGAAACCGTGAACTTGCGCGTTGCGATTGGTCAACCCACATTATTCAAATGAATTCAAATATCCAAATAAATCCAGCTCTTCGATTTGATTTGATTACAAATCAATTTGGTCGATTTGGATTGGAATAGATTTGACTAGATTTGAATTCATTTGAGTTCATTTGATTTGGATTTATTTGTTGACAAGCCTGCCAGTGACTGAGGCTGAGCAGCAGCAGCGAACACACAAGATGCAGCTACGGCGCTTCAGGACCCGAGATTGTGGGCGTGCACGTGCACCGCCGGGAGGCATGGGTAGCGGCGCGCAAAGCGCTCGACGGGGATAAGCTTGTCCAGTGCGAAGACAGCGATGACCCTAAATTCGCAGGCGAGTGCCCGTTTGGTGAAGATGTCGCCCTACATGCCGTTTCGGAGACAAGCCAGAATTACTATGTCGCGGTGCAGACACCATTGTGGGCGCACACGGAGAGGAAACACAAGGTCGGAAAGGGGCTTGCTCTAGCATAAGTTCAGTTTCTATTCTTGGGTTTAATTTTACCTTGACTGTTGCGAATAGTCTATTATTTCTGCTGCGTATTTTGACTTTATTTTAGCATTCAAACTGGAAATTTGCGACACGACTTGGCTGGCATTTTCTGGGCCGACAGCCCTTTGGCATCTCGCAGAAAAATTGAATTAAATGAAAATAAGAATGCATAAACTCGCGTGCCAATTGTCACGCCACTAGTAGACTAGACGATCGCTGGCCGATTAGCGAGTCCGCGCCAGCACTGGTCGTGTAGGGGTCCAAGATCAGAGACTGACTTGAACGTGCGCCAACCAGCGGATGTAGACGTGTCTCATCATACGCCAGAACTGTGATTAATTACCCAGTTATTCTATAGAATAAGTATAATAGATTCTGATTTGTTTATTTTCAAGTGTTCAACTACGTATTCCCTCGGCCGTGTCCACGTAGCCTTTTAATTAAAAGGTGACGTTAGAAATTCTGAGCAAAAAAACCGCTTTCATCTGAAGCTGCAATTGTGCGAGAAGTAAACTAAGTCACATCGTGGTCAGCGGCAATCTCTTCTTACCGGCACAACGCGTTGCCGCATCGTACGATCATATACATACAAAACAATATTTGTCGATAATATCCTCGTAAGATGCACAGGATATGTCGAAATAATCCGTGGCTGGCGCAGAAGATTTAGCTGTCGTCAGTGGACAGAGCCACCGCGCTGTATCAACTATGTTTTGTTGCCGTGTCTGATGATGCTGTTGTTGACCCTGCTTCTGACGGCGATGATGATGCTGCCGTATAAAGTGAACCCGGAAGTTTGAACCGGCATTATTATCCCAGTACTCCTGCCCGTCGATGATGCAGCGAACACACAAGATGCAGCTACGGCGCTTCAGGTGTGCAAGTCCAGAGATGTTGACCTCGAAATGAAACCAGTCGTATCCCATCCCTTGTTCCGCTTGACGAGTGGGCATTGCGCACACCTCGGAGACGGTTTCCCAACCGTCAAAGGTGAATCGGCAGGCAGCAGACTGTGTACCAGTGGTAGCTGCGACAGCAAGAGAGCCACATATCAGCTTATTGTCGCTGGACAAACGAAGTCCGCAGAGTTGCACGAAACTTGTGGCATCAGGTTTTTCAGGCTCCCTGGTATAGGTAGGATTGATAACCCAAACAGAGTCTTCGCCGTCACTATCGTCACTATCGTCGCCAGTGGATGGAAAGCTGTACAAGTCGGGCAACTGGTCTCGGCCGAGTTGGCCATCATCGGCGCAAGACGATTCTGTGCTGATAGCGATGGGACTTTCAAGCTGAAAGAATGGACAGACCTGTACAGTCGAGTCAAAATGTACCATTTTCGGTGTCTTCGGGGTGATTGGCCGGCTAGGCATGCCATTTGGACTGAGGGGTGGACAGTGCGGTATGCAGAGAGCTGGAGGGAGCGAACATGGTAACTTGGACCTCGGTTGCTGTCTTCGCTGCGTCTCATCGTGTTTTGGTAATTTATGCGATTTATCGATTTTGATTGAGAGGCATTGCGGCTGGGAGCCGGCTGCAGTGTAAAGAGTAACGGAAGGCGGCGTATATGGCATCGCCGGCGATGTAAAAGAGCGACGATACTTATGAGAGGTCTAAGTCAAAGGTGGATTGGATTAGAGTATCCCATGAAATGATAAGCAACTCACATGACTATTCGCAGGCTCTGCGACCCGTCTGGCCGTTCCAGACTTTAAATGATGGCAACCGGGTTTCTGCTTCCCAATCAACTCACAGCGGAGACGGCCTCCGGTCCACTCGACCGAGAAATACCACAAGCGGAAGCTTTTACAGCGGTCCTAGCAATCTATCTATTAAAACCTCCTCCGTCGTCGGAGAATAATCGTCCAAAACCGGCTGTGCGTGTGGGCTGATGTTGCAGTGGCGGGATTCCTCAAAGCCTGGATCGACGCCAGAAACAGATGTACAACCATTTCTCAATAACCCGGGCTCATAAATTGCTTTTCTCATGCGACGCGACAACTCGAAGTCCTGCCCCACTCTCATACTCGGGCAGTACAATTACACTACCCACGATTCAAGTATATCGGAGAATCAACTACATATTGTAGACATCGCTATGGTGCGGTATTGCGCTGTGTTTGTGGAGACCCCAAGTACAGACCCCAAGTACTTGTTGCTTAGTTACTTATTTCTGCTAATCATGAGTACATTTTATGAGATCCCTTCTAATTATTTGATATCCCTACAAAATAGCGAACTCTGGGCGGCGAATGAGGAAGGGAGGCATCTGCAGCCACGACGGCTCGGAAGCAATCGCTAACGTTACCCCACGTCATCCTACCGGCGTAACGGCTCCGATAGGGCCAAAATAAATCAGCCCACTTGCTTAATCCACAATTGATTGCCGATCAATCCCGAAGGCGACCAGTTGGCTTTCACATCCTCTCAAGCGGCGAGTTTCCTGGATAACTCCTGCCACCCCCGTCTGTTTTTAAAGTCACACTACTATGTTTTGCCCTTCCTTCTTGTTTCGGCACGCTCTGCCGCTCATAATTCTACCAAAGCCGATCAGACCGTGTTCCACGAGTTTCCAAATACTTGACGCGGTTCTATTTTAGGGCCTGACGCTCCGCAGCCACACCAGACGGGAGCCAGGTATATCTCCAGAACCACTCCCCGCTCTCCATCTTCTCTACTTGGGTCCTTTCAAAACAGCGAAACCATTCTCGGTCAGAAGGGCTGTCACGTAGAATATAGGCTACTATTAGTGCTACTGGAGAATATCCTAGTAGACCTGCCATTTTTTGCTCTAATAACCCAACATTTACACCTCGATCTTACAGAAACGGATTACACAGCCATTCTTCTTGTTGGACAAGAGAAATACTGCCAATCCAGCTTTATTATCACAACAATATTTATCCATATTCGTCAAGATGGCGACACTCGACATTACTGAGCTCAATATCGTTCTGGGCGTCTTAGGTTGGTGTATTTTCCACTTCTATGCTGTAAACATGTTGCTAATCAGCCTCCAAGAGGCTAGTTTCACCGCGGAATAACGGTACGATGCTTTCCAAAACTTTCAACATGGCGTTGGCGCAGCTCGCGGCCGGTGTTTCTGCAAAGCTCGTAGCAAGCGGCCGAAGGGCCGCTTCTGTCACGTTATGTGAGGCAGTTAGCTGTCATTGATTCTGTTGTTATCAAAAAGCTTGTTCCTGTTTTCCTAAAGTCAACAATCCGGCATTAAATACTTCTGGAAACTGCTGCCTGGCAAGCAGCAGTGTTACGACAGAATTTGCCACCCAGGCAGAACGCTTGCGTACTGTACCCAGAGAGACAGCGTTATCCGACAGCTTCACAACGTAGCTGAGGTTGCCTCTGAAGCCAGTCTTGAAACTTTGCAAGATGGGCGATATTGGTAGACACTGCCTGGCCTCTATGCGCTTAGATAACGCCGGCAATGCCGCTGTCACCATTCTCGATAGTATCGCACTCGCCCCTGGTGCGCACAAGGTATTGGCCTGCATTAACTCATTAGCCTCTGCAATCTGTTGCATGTTCACAGGCGAACACGGGATAACGTACGGAATTCAGAGCCTGGTGCTGCCCAAGACTGAAGGACAGTCAGCTCAGCTTTACTACACATGAGCCGGACATCTTGCTCCTCGTACTTGTGAGAGTCAAACCAGTCAATTTCTTGCCTCTTGGAAATCATCTTTCCGCCTTCCTGTAGTGGGACGTCTTTATTGGCACGCATGAAGAATCGATGGCGCGTTGTTGGCTTCTCCTCCAACTCAGCCTCGAAATCCCAATCTTTCTCTCTAAAAAGCTCATATCCGAGAAGCTTGTTTGCGTTTTTCAGACCATTCAGAAAGAATTCGCGGAACATATCATCGCAGGAATGGTAGGCGGTCCAGATCTTGTCCCGGCTGCCAGCAACAAGGTGACCATCCATGCCAATCAGCAAACGATCCTCCGGCCGGAGCTCGGCGGCCCATCTTCTAAGGTGGCCTAGCGCGGTCGGCCAAGGATCGTTGCACAGAACGGAACCGAGGGACAGAAATAGACGAGGGCCTGTAATCCTGCCCATGTGCTGCAGTCCGTTCTCGAATGTACCCCAAAAGCCGCCGCAATTGACGACTGAATCAGGGCTAGAGTGGCTAGCGGTCAAGCTAGCTATGCTCTCGTCTAGCGAGGTCTTGGAAATGTCGAGAGCAAGGTACGTGGCATGGACTTTCCTGCGTTCGAACTCGGCGAGAAAGTGGTCGACCTTGTTCGTATCACTGGGTCAACGAAACAAAACACATGGTTAGCAATTCTGGTAATAGATGGCGAGACATACAATGAATGCGTGTGATTAGTTTACTCACCCTGAACCCAAGTCAATCATTGTGACATGATCAGGGACTTGACGAATAATCTCGGAGCTGTTGAGGTCGAAGAGGGCTGTTTCATCATGGGTCTGGTAGAATTGTGGAATGGTCATGATTTTGTTCCACATGAGCAGGCCCACGTCGTCATATAGCAGCTCGTCAGGCAGCGTTGGCACTTCTCTCGATGCAGCGATGGCATATAGTGTTTCCTTGAGCTTGTCGATGCTAGAATACTTCAGAGCACTGCCACCAATATCGAGAATCTTTCCATGTTCCGGGATGGCAGCGACAGGCGGCTTTTCGGCCGTTGTCGGCAGTGCTTGCGTTTCAGTGAGTGAAGACATTATGCTTAGGGTTGCTTGTGTAACGGGCAAGTGAGATGGACGGTACTGAACAGATCAAGGTTGACGATGGAAACCTGAGACGGATAGGGACATATGTGCAGAAGCCTCGAATTTGTGAGTGTGTAAATCTCGTGTTGTGTTTGTTTTTGTCGTATGGATCCAAGAATGCGGAAGCAATCGCGGGCGGTATTGAACAACGAGTGACGGCGCGGCAAGACGCGCGCGCAGATCAGATGGTCCCCGAAGCAATCTCGGTTTCCTCTTTGACAAACAGAATATAACGATCGGGGTGTGAGTCGACAGAGACTTGAAAGCGAGTGAGATGCTGGTGTCCCGACCAAGCCTCGAGCGTGCGCGCGACGAGGGTGGCGGTGGTGGTGGCAGCAGTGGCGGGCGGCATGAACGCCCCCCCCCCAGTTCCGCCGGTTAGAAAACCCCGACAACGCGTTGAGCGTTGACGGCGCAACTAAACGGATCACGCGCTAGCCTCAACCGTGGCGTGAAATGAACCATTATGGTACCCCTCGGCGGGGCAAGAAGCCCTGGTCCAGACGAATGCTACAACTTGCAGGCTTGGAAGAATTTATCACGCAGCACAGTCCATGTGTGCTTCACCTTCCTCTTCGAGTCTCCCTTTGCTTTGCTGGAGGCGATGATCGCAAATATAGCCGACAGACATATATCCATACCGAAAAGATGGCCGTCGCTATAAGGACGCTGCGGGACCAGTGTGCATCATCCATCGCCGGGATGCTAGTGGAAATCAGCGCAATGAGCGAAATCAATACGAATGGGCTAGGCACAGGTCAGTGATCTCTGCTTGTCAAATCTGCTGCCTACTTACATGACCAAGCGGTATACAATCCAGATGCAACGGCGTCGGGCAAACCACCATATCCATGTGAAGCTGACGGCGGCGAAGAAGCCGAAGACCGTTGCGATCAGGACGGTTTGCAGCACTCTCGCCGCGTAGAAGCACCGTAGCAACAGCTTGCCAGCCATCTTGAAGGCGTAGAGCTGCCGTGAGTATGTCTGAAGCTGTGGTGGGAGAATGTTCCTCAAGCGACGCCACCACGAGTAGCACGAGTAGAGGACGGCAAGAATGGGCGGCGCCTTCGGAGTCGGCACGCTATTCTCGATATCTTCCGTGAAGTCGGATAGCAATCGCACATAGGTGTCGACCACAAGCCCTCGTGAACCCAGACCGACAGACCGAATGGGCCGGTCTAGGTCTGTCGGTCTGTTAGCCACACTGGATTTATCACCGACAATTCTTGACCCGGTGGTTGCTGGCTAGCGTCCTTCTCGCTCTCCTATGTCTCACAAGTGTGTAGCGTTTTGCATGTTTGTCGGTTGCCTTACGTTTTTCTTGGCTCCGGTCTATGACCGTCTCCGCAGCTATTTTTGGCGCCTGGCGGGGGCCGACCCTCCCTTTCCGGTCGTCGTTCCGGCCCTCCGTTTCTTAGCGCAAGGCTAAGATGAGCTAGATGGTTTTGGCAGAATTTCTGTTCAAGTGGTTCTGGGCGGCACCTTCCCACCAATTCGCCCTGCGCTGGCGGCTCTCGCTTATCCTTTGTTGTACTGGTGAATCTTTTTTTCTGCTTTTCTCGCCGCCATTGCCGCACTTTTACGCTTGCTCTCCTCGCCAGCCGACTCGTAGAGCACTGAGGCGAGGTAGGGGTTGTCGCTCTCGACATATCGCGGCGGGAGGGTAAACTGAAGCGAAGCTTTGTCTCGGGGCAACGCGAAGCTGGAGCAGCAAAGCACCTCCCTCGAGCTGCGTGGCGACTGCCATAGGGTCTTGGCTCTCACGAAGGCGTCGGAGAATCGCTGCGGCCTCATCCTCTTTAAAGGTCTGGAGGGCAGTTACGACCCGTCGCAGAGCGTTGTGGGAGCTACGAAGAACGCGAAGCTCCTCTTTGTCTTCACGGTGCCGTCGTCTCAGGGCTGCGTTGCTTGACTCGCCGGTCTCTGCGCGGTAGATGCATTCTTGATTCTTGCGATCGCAAGCGGAACAACTTGGTCGCGCGCCGTTGCACTGTGAGCCCGTCAGGAACCCGTCAGAAAATCGAGTATTCGCTGAAAAGTTGCACGAGCCATTTCGCCGCCAAAGAATTACGAACCTTGATTCTGGCTCTTCTGCAGCTCTTGCATGCCACCTGGGCCACAGGACGTCGCGGCGGAAGATTCCTCATGGGCGGCCTTCGTGGCAACAGTTCGGTTCGTGGTAAAATCGGCCGCAAGAAGGCTGGCTGCGGCGGATCAGAACTCATTTTCTGCAAAGATACCAAGGATTATTGAGTACAAATATTGCGTAAGTCGAGAGATTGAATGATCCGTACTTGAGGGCGAGTGTAGTGGATAGCGCTCACGCGGATACCGTCATGGTGACCATTGGACAGAGTTGGTCAAATTGGCGAGTTAGGCATCCCCAGTACATGGCGTGTCCCAGCCTCTGCGCGAGGATGTCCTCACAAAGTGATGTCCCATTTGTAAGGCTGTACCACATCAGGGCCTAATGGATGTCCCTCCTACTGCGATGGCACAGTGTGGACACCCCTACATAGAGGCCGTCCTTCGTGGCACAGCGCATGTGGAAGGACATCCTCATGATTTACATGCGCCACACCCGCTGGCTCGAGCCAAAATTCGCTGAAGCCGAGTGCACCTGTGCCGCAAACTGCTCAAGCCTGCTCTCCATTGCGAGCCTGTCACAGCCTCCGACAGTAGCCTCATTCGGCTTTGCACATCATAAAAGCCACAAGTATTAGCTGCAGAACTGCAGCTACCTAGTGCTGAACCAATCGGAGCGATAGCAACCATGACTTCCGAACCAATTGCATTCCAGCACTATATGGCCTGTCGAAGATACCACCGAAATACCAGCCTATCTCTACCAGATAATATACTGAACTTCAGACGATGAATCACCGCAGATTTATAGCTTAGCTATGAAACAGATTGCATGTGGTCAGTAACATTTAGAGCGCTACTCTCCTCTTGTCTGTATATACTAGCTTTACGACCTATGCCATTATCAAAATGACTGAAGCGATTTTCTACTCTCGCCTTCCAACCGTGGCAAGACTAGGTCAAGAAAAGTAGAAACTGTGTAGTTTGGCCGAGTTGTAATGGCGCGTCTATAGCCCGGCAGTTGGCCGTAATATAGAAAGATACCCTAGCCACACGGTAGCAAGGACAATCATTAGGTAGGGCTAGTAACAATGATGCATGAGCTCCGAAGCCTCCGGAAAGCCTTATTGGCCACTTTATCCGCGAGTGGATGTTGTTGTGAAAACGCCACGAAGTTGCTTTGATTCAGCAACTAGACTGCGCGGAGCATAGCCTCCGTAATTACAGTGGTTTTTCCTGTAAAGCTATGGCCGGCAAGACGTAGCGTATATGTCAGGAGATTGAGCTGAGTACCTACTAGAATAAGAAAAGTGTAGGAGGGAGAGAGCCCGATGCTATATGAAGCTATTGTCAACTATGAGTAAAGAATGAGCTCTAAGCTTATCAGATTGGCTCCTACTAGCGGGGCTATTGAAGCAGGCGCTCTCACTTCTAGATTAACTCAGGCGGATTTCTATATAACTCAGGCCGATTGATTTACAATCTTTGTACATCAAGATGTACATGAATAAGTCGCCGCTTTCAAGACGGTGGGCCATAAAGAGATTTCTGCCTCAGAGGGGTCATGCCACGAACCTGGCAGCGTGCGGCCACATGGTAGCCGAGGCCGGCTTGCACGATGAACCCGCCACCCCTTCAGAAATTGTTGCATCGATTCTGTGTTGTAGCTCCTTGAGCTACGGCATGTCAATCAATCTTCCAGCGCTAGACAATAGAATTGACCGCGTGCCTGCTTCGGACCGTACCTACCTGAACCCTCGAACCCACGCTGTGACCGTTCATGTCTGCAGTTGGATTTCTATCACGGTTTTTGAAGCCAGGTGGCCCATGCACGCCCCAAAACTTCTTCCATGTCTCGCGGCTCATGTACATTGGTGTACATGCAACAAATGCCGTGATGCCTCGTTGTGCAGGTTCCCTGGCTCAGGAATGTGCAGCGGACGGGATTAGGCCTATTGCGCAGCGACAGGCTGCGCCATAGCAGTTGTTTGTCCGCCGGCTGCCACATGCATCACATCCCCGTTATGAGGCTGCACTTTGGAAGCCATAGAGAGACGACGTATATCGTTCACAGCTGCAAGTTCAACAAATACATAGCCAGACGATGTCATGACTCATGACGGCACCTTTTCACGCTGACGCAAGCAACTTCCCTTGCAAGGGCGATCCATCGTTACTCGATACACAACAGGGCGCATCAATAGTGAGCTGGAAGACCGTGCAGACGTACAACTTCAGCCCAGCCGAGTTCTGCGATCAAAACAGTATTACAAGACCTGGCCAGTTGGCTCACTGGTAGCTTGAATCACGACGCACTATTCTCGCGCTTTGCAGCCTACGTCAGTATTCTTCCGAGCCTTTGTTGCGCCACGGCCTCATACTGCTCTGGAACCCTGTTTTTTCGTTTACTCGATATCAGACTTGTTTCACCTCGTTGATGTCCTGTTGCGTCGCACGCCTTCACGCCGTTGACGACCTATTTCTCCGGTGAATCGACGCCTGAGTCCAACTATAAGGAGCAAGCCAAGCCAATTCATGCGTGGTCGTGACTGGCAATTTCCTCAACTTGCAAACCATTCTGCACTGCTTGCGCCATTGATACCCCCTCTTCTACCGAAAACATTCAGCCTCCGTCCGCTCTTCAATCTAGCACAGACCTTTACTCGACGCCATGTCTGTCTCCTGCCTACACTCATTTACTCTGATCAAATCAGAAAGCATATTGATGCAATGGATCTGCCAGTTTTGCCGCTCTGGTCCCAGCTACATGATCTACGAGTGCGCATACTGCAAGTTGCATCTCTGCCGCATGTGCACCGACATCTGAGACTCTACCCTTCCACAGGCTTTCTATCCATACTCCATACTCCATACAGGTCCGTATATAATATGGAATATAGAATATACCTCGTATGGAACCTTATTCCATGGAATACACGAGATGACGTCATCAAAGTATGAAGTACTAAGAACAAGTTGTTGAGCATCCCATGTTTCACTGCCACCAACTTCCTCGTTCTCCTCACTCTTTGACCAAGTCAACCGGAATCCCCCGTGTAATGGAATCCCCCGTGTAATGGAATCCCCCGTGTAATGTCGCTCTTGATCCAGCTTTTCATGCACTGTCCCCTCTCAATTGTACGACTTCCTAGCCGGCATCGGTCCCACGATATTGTGCGCCGTGCACCAGAAAAGATGCGCTCTGCTCAGCTGACATGGCCGGTATTGATAGAATATCGACGGCCATTCTAGACAGGCGGGGGTATCGTTGCTGTTGCTCCTCTCTGAGCCACCACGCAAGCGGGGAGCAGTCGATAGCGACTGGACTTTCTGCAGTGAAAGCCTTATTTATAGTCGTGTACGTCACCCATCGCTGGGCTAGCGACATCCAGCTCCCGAGCAAGCATGTCGTACTCGTCTGCAGGCTATCTCGTAACTCCGGCGTTGTGGTTTCAATCGACTTCCTCACCGAAGCTGACTGGCACGAGGTTGAGCTTTTCTATAAGCTCCTGCAGCCTTTTGAGCGACTCACGAAGCGTCTACAAAACTGTACAGATGGCGAGGGCAGCGAGGGTGGCCAGGGCTCGGTGTGGCAAGTACTCTATGCCATGGACTTCCTGCTCACCAAACTTGAGAGCGTCAAAGAAGATTTTGATGCCATACGTGCAGAAGATGAGGATGCGGTTCCTCCGTACTACCGTGCCGGTGTGCTCGCTGCATGGTCAAAGATTAACACCTACTACGGGCTCACGGTGACCGTGATGGATAGACACGCTATGAAACTGAAACTGAGGTGAGTTTCAGTTTCATGAAGCCGGACGCCGGTATAGTTTCAGTTTCGTATGAAACCGGTTTCAGTTTCATACGAAAAGACTGGTTACAACGCAGCTTCTTTTCCCAAGCTTGGTGCCAATATACACTCATATTCAACTTTTCCGAAGAGGTTAGCATTATCGGCGTACCCGTGCTGGCAATTCTCACGGTCCGCCATTACTTTTCTCCCCTTGACTTCTCTCTATATCTTCTTGTAGTATTCTCACAGCCGCGTCAACATCTCCTGCTCGCCTGAACACCCCAGCGAGAAGCGGTCTTCCCTTTCCCTTTGGAACACTAATCCAGCTTTTGATACACTCGCAGGCCTCCACCATTTTAGCAGACATGTTACTTCTATCCCACGTCACCTGCCGTCTTGTGCCAGAGAAGATTCGCTCTGCCTCCGTTGACATTGGCGGAATGGAGAATACGTCAATAGCCATGCGGCAGAGTAAGGGGAAATTTTCTCGCTGAGTCGGTTCGAGCCACCATTGCAAGGCAATCTGTTGTCCAATTGCAGCCTGTGAGCTCTGCCAGGTATCGTCAGAAACTAGTCATCAGAAGGTATAAATTACTTACATCAATGAAGCGGTCGAATTCGTCCTTCACCTCACTCGTTGTACAGTATACCTTCCGCCTCCAGCGGTCAAACTCGTCGAGTTCTTGACTATTTTCCTGTTGTTTATCAGGGAGCTGATAAGCCTTGTACTCCGTCAGCCAAATCTTTCTTACGGCCTTTACAGCACCGCTAACCCAGAGGAACCCAGCCTGGGTTCCTCTTCCACTGCTCACTCAGATAGCTTTTCCGCAGTGCCGGGTGGAGGAGAATGCCAGCAACGTACACGGGCGCCTGTTCGGTAAGCTGGTAATACTTCTCGAACTTCAGCCAGGCCACATGAAATCGAGCGTAAAAGCGTGGATTACTGGAAGCCCGGTTTCTAGTCTGCGTGAAGTGTTCATGTAGGAAGTCCATGTGAGCGAGGACTTCGTCGAGTGTATTCTCCCGGCCCTGCCGTACTGATATCTGGTGGAAGACCTGCAAGAACGCCTGAATATCCTTGAGCTCGTCCCAGTCGCTGTGACCCAATGCATCTTTCTCAATTTTGGCATGATTTTCTTCAATCCAGTCCATCAGCTTTGTCCGTCTCTCAATAGCCACGTCGATGAGGCGAAACCATGAATTCCAACGTGTATCATTGTTCCTCGGCAAGGCCTTGCCAATCTTAGACCTGAAGTCGTTATAGATGTTGGTCGAGCTTCGCGAATATATGCACAAGTTGTGCAGCTTGGTTAGAACACTAAATCCGCGCCACTCCTCGGTTGCTTGTGCTTTCATAATGCTGCCTCCCCGGTTCCTGATGCCCTGCTCAGCCGCTGATACGCCTCGTCAATTCCCTCCTGCTCGTCCTCTTGGATCTTCTTTGCCTTGCTCCGGGAGAGGAAGGCCTGAACGATCAGGTTCATAACGTGGCCGCTGCATTGCAATCGCCTGGCGACCGGATCTAATCCTTCAATCTCTTCCGCGACGCCGTCGAGCATGGTATCGTTGGCCTCGTGATTATCCATTGTAAAATAGCCAATCTTTCTGCCGAGGTCGTACTCTTTGACCACTTCCAGGAAAGTTTTAGCTTGCAGCTCCCCACTGTGGCTTCCTTTGAACTCACGCAGAGACAGTAGCGCTTGGGCGACTTCTCTCGTCTCCGCGTCTACAAAATGGACCACGATTGCCTGATATGCTGCCTTTTGTTCCGACGAGGTCCACATGACAATGGTGAAGTGGACCATAGATGAGAGAGAGTTATGCAGTTTCTCGCTGAGACCTTGTTTGTGTTGAGCGTAAGTCTTTTCGAGAAGTTTCGGGACCGCCCTGCGGCTGCGTAGGAGGACATCTCGAGCCATATAGTTGCACGAGAGTATAACTGCTTGAAATTCGGGATACTCGATAAAAGTGTGGGCGATATTGCGAACTGCAAGGAGCCTAGCGAGTGCTTCCTCGAAAGCAGGGACATTGATCGCATTCGTCAAATACGTCTCCTCGTCAATGTCTCGATTGGCTTGGCGCTCCTCCTGCCTCCCGAACATATCCGTAATGGTGCCATGCTGCTGTTTCTGTAGATGGGACCTTTCAGCCTGCTCTGGAACCCGGATGCCATGGAAGTCCCGGAGGTGCTTGCGGGCTCGGCTTAGGTTTGTCGTAATGGAGTGTGGCTTTTTTGCGGATCCACAGTGCTTGCAGTACCAAATCTCGTGGTACGAGCTATCGCGAGCTTTCTCGCCTCTCTCTTCGTCAGGTTCACGCGCCTCATTCCAAGTGCTTTTATTTGTACGACTTTTGGCGCGCTTGCCAGCCCGACAGACCTGCCTATTGTACTGTGTTATCGTACTACGACGAAGAAGACGGAATTATCGACACACTTGATGCCTTGGACCTAGAATCCGAGACACGCAGAATTATCGCGAAAGAGAAGGAACGCATGGCAACCCGAGCCGATGTGCTACGCACCTTTGCGGAATCTATTGCCGCTTGCGCAAGAAAATTTGACCACGGCTACGCACATGCCGTTGCAACGACTTCACCAGGTCCCTGCTCCACCACTGGAATCAGTTCCTCCACTCGGAGACACTGCAGGATACAGCGATGATCCCCCACTGATGAATCTACCAGTCAGACAGAAATCAGCGGCCAGGCCGCCAACCGACAATCAGCTGCCCCCCCAAGAACAGTGAGCTTCGCAGACGTCACCAAAGCGGCGGCGCGTCAAGCCAAGCGCGTGGGCAGTAGCCGTGCTGCAGGCACGCGTTGTAGATGTCTGTGACGAGGTGGCCTACTATTGGCCAGAGTTTCTGAAGCATGTGTACTGTAATACCGTCGGCGCCAGGGGAGGTGTTGCCTGTGCTAAGGAGCCCGAATCGTGTCTCTTCGTAGGAGAGTTTTTGGTCAAAGGGAATTGAGGTTTCCGGTGTGACAGGAATAGACCAAGGGTCGGCGATATCGTCGCTAGCTGAGCGCCGTGTGAGTCTGGCCCGGCCAAGGGCTCGAGCTTTGTCTTTGTTGGTCGAGAATATCTGCTCGCCAACCCGAATGGGGGGTGGGGATATCCGCTGGCGAGGCTTTAGCCAGCGTGTGGCTTTATAGACGTCATCCGGTGCTGTGATGCTCGCGATGATCCCACGCCAGAAGTCCCGCTTAGCCCGGCGAACTGTTCGTTTGAAACGGATACGCGCGCGTTGCGTCTCCTCCCCGTTGAATTCTCAGTCGTACGCCAGAGCACCCGGAAGTCTAGGGGCGTGTTTGCACATTCCTCGTTCCACCAGGGGTTTTTCCCGGCCTTGTGGTTACTTTGGCGATGACCGCACGTCCAAATTGCCGTCTCGATAATATTTGTGAGTGAGGACGTTGTTTGTTCAATGTTCTCGTGGCTGTCGAGTAGTGGCTGAAGTGAGGTGAATGCTCTCTTCACATGAGCAACGAAATCTTCCATTTCGTCGCCCAACGACACTTTTTATCTGTTTGCAACCCGCTGACGAGCCTCTGCTGCCAGTACTTCAATACACACTGTGTAATGCAGTGAGCCTGTTGTGAGATATTCCTCCACAACCGCAGCGGCTTGGTCAATGCTGGAGAATGCCAAGTCTATTGTGGTTGCGCGTCGGTGAGGCGCCGGCCGGGTTGTGTCTGTGTCGGGTTCGTTAAGGAGGAGAAGCCCTTGTTCTTCTGCCCACTCAGCGAGTTTCGTACCGCATCTTGAGCTTGGTCGGTCTGTTCTCCAGTGGTTATAGTGTTCTGTAGCTCTGGCTCAGTGTATTCTACCTCGGTCATTTCAACGTCACCCGTGTCCTGGTTCTCCGCCGGGCCCTTCGTGGTTTCGGTGGGCTTGGACTGTTGTTGCGAGAGCTCCCATCGCTCGTACGCAGATTTGCCTTGCCGGATGGCGTAGTTATGTTCTGTCTTGGAAAGAGCACGGGTTCCATGGGCGGTGCGTTTTGGGAGGGCGAAGCATTCTGATGAGCCTGTATCGTGTGGGCCGTGGCAGCCTACGCATCTGGTGTTGGCTTTGCAGCTTTCCCGGTCGTGGGTGCGGCTTCCACAGTTTCCGCAGACTTTTTGTTTCTGGCATTGCATGGGTGTGTGGAATAACCAGCATATGTCACATAGGATGAGGCGCGGGGGTTTTGTAAGCTGGAAAGAGAGGTCAACGAGGCCGAGGAGGCGGAAGCGGCTCTTTAGAGTTGATTGAAATGGATGATCAGCGTGGTTGTGAGATTGTCGGTTTCGGTGCTTCTCCATCGGACGGGGTGAAGTCCAGTTTGCTCCTTGATGGCTTCTTCAACAGTTTGCTTGTAGTCGAGTTCTGTGCCATCCCATGACGTGATTGTCCGCGGGAAATGCTTGATAAGGTATGTGTGCCATTCAATGTCCCTTTCCGCGATCTCAAGCCCAATCAGGGAACCCCAAAGTTGCTGGTTCTGAAGAATCTTTTGCTGGATAGCCATGGTCGAAGGGGCTAGGGCAAACCCCGTGTTGGTTTCTTCCATGTCCAGGAGGTCTGCTAGTTGCAAGTGTAGCTTGTCGCGTATTGCCAGTTGAATCTGGAGTGATTTGCCGAAGAATTTCGAGTCCTTACGGAGACGGATAAGAACCCTCTTATTATTTCTTGGTGTTTGCGCTTTACGTCTCGGGGCATCCTTGGGCGTGATTTTGCGATTTCCGGGTTGCGTCTCGTTGGCGGCGCGCGTGACGCCGGCAAAGGTCACTGTTTTATCGAGTGGTGCTGTGCGCGGGGTTTTCTCCACGCTGTCTAAGATGGCGGCATGGTCAGGGGCTGGCGACGCTTCGCGATAGGAGGCAGCCGACCAGTGCTGTAAGATCGTCGAGCGGATGTGCTGCGCAAAGCGTTTTCCGTATCCAGAAGAGAATTGCTCAGCGCATTTTGCAATTGCCTGTGAGTACGCGCGTAGGATGCTGGCGCGTATGTCGAGTTGGTTCTGGGCTTCCGCGATGAGGACTTCGGCGTCTGCGAGAGCGTCGTCGGCATCTTGGTTCTGGGCCGGTAGAGGTGCGAAGCGGTTCGTGTTCGGTCGTTGCTGTCGTTTTTCGGCTGCCGGTCGTACGGACTGCTGTCGTATCGGGCTACTGCTCTCGGTGAAGGGGCGAGTGCGCACTGGGATGCTGTCGCGCGTGATCAATCTCTGCGGGCCTTCCAACGGGCCGGGGCTCACAGAGGTGTCACGCTGCGGCGCATCACCAGCGTAGGGGCATTTGGTGGCGCAGGCGCCATGCCGTTCGGCGTGCGCTTCGGGAATTTGTGCAAATTTATTACGATTTATTCCACTATATTTCTGGTCTAGAAACACAAGGTATGGTGTACCCTGTGATGTAGATGAAAGATGCTACTTCGTCGCGCATTTTTGGCTTGCTCTGGTGTGGGGCAGGTGCGAGTGGCTACTGTAGAGTGCACTTGACGCAACTAGGCCCCTTGTTTACTGTAGGCACCGGTCACGCCATCCAGCCAAGCCACTGGGTGGTGGTCCAGGGTGGGACGAGCGGAAAGCCGCAGGATGGGTTAGATAGATGAATCTGGACATCGTGGAGTAAAGCAAGCAGGTAGTGGCTTGCGCGGGCTAGGAAATGGAGGGCCGGACCGAGAACCGGAAAAGGACGTGGGAGGGGCCGGGCCTCACGAGGGGGCTACCACGCCAAAAGTAGCTGCGTAGACGGCCATAGATCCGGAGCCCCCGCCCCAACCCCCCAAAAAGGCAGAACGCACGCTGCGCACTTGTGAGAATTGGGAGCACCCAGAAGATGGAAATAAACGAATAAGTGGTCATTTGAACAGGCGGAAGCAACCATCAGTCAGGCACGACGAGTCATGCACGGCCACCGCCCAAAGGCCACTAACAAACGCCGATGTTGGCGAATTGGATACAGGCGGAGATGGACAGGCCAGGGCGAAGGTGGAAGGCTGGCGATGCCAAGAGGGAGCAGCCACAAAGCAACTAACGCATCAGCCAAACCGGTTGCGCCCAAAAGCACCAACGAGACGAAAGCCGCTAACCACTGTTGAGGCTGTTCGAAAATCGTTTGCGCTAAAAAAAGACAATGGGTCGAGGAGAAGATGGACGGTCAGAACTTGACGAACTAGGCGCAATACTAACGACACTCCCTTCTACTAATCAAGGTTGAGATTGTTGCCCCCAAAAAGATAAGGGTCGAAGAGAAGATGTGCGGGCAAAGCTCGACCAGGCACAATACTAACGACACTCCCCTCCTACGTCATGAGGCGGATGAGCGAGGCGCGCCAGTGAGGCATGATCGTAAAAGCAGAAGTTGACAGATGGTGTCACAATGGAGGCTAAGAAAGCTTGACGCCACCAACGTGCCGAAAAGAAACGAACGGACAATGGAAGGATGTGGCTCTAGCAACCACACGCCCACGGGCCACGATTTCCTCAGCAGGACATGCTGCCGAACTGGACTGCAAACAACGGTCATTTTTCTTTTGGACGACAGAACTGTTGACGACACCCCTTCTGGTCAAAAACCGGCCCATAGGAATTTGCGCTGTTCGAGCAGAGCTAATAACGAAACAAATCGATGATGCGGCAGTTAGGATTTACTTTCCTGACAAATGGAGATTATTACCAACGTGAAGGTCTTTGTCGACGTGTTCAACTCAGCCCAGACTTGATAAGGTTGTCTAATTGAGAAGTTATAAAGGACTCCACCATATTGATATCCATCAACATAGCAAAAGAGCTTGCCTTTGCTTAGGTAGTTTGGGGCAGCCAAAAAATGTAGATGCAATGGTAGACGACCACGCTACAAGAAAAAAGTAACTATGACGCTTCCAATGAAGAGAGCCTTGTCCAAGTAGCATATGGGCAGGCTCTCAGCAATCCACCAGGAGTGGCACGTGTGTCCATGTGCAGGAGAGGAGGGGTGGGGAATGTGAGAAAGTTGGGGGGGGCGGGTGCCTGTGTATTTTGCCCCAAGGAGTGGCTTCTCTCTCAAGCCTTGACACCGCAATCCGCCACGCGTCGCACGTTAAGCCCGCCATATTTCGTGTATGCCTGGAGTACAGCGCTGCCAGTGGTAAAAACTTTACAAAACAAGATTGGGCACTGGCTTAAATCTCTTGTCTGGAAAGGATGCTCGCTGCCCGTTGCTGCACTGTCCGTATTAGAAGTTTATGGGCTTGAGATTACCGAAGTCGCCGGAATCAAAGTACATTATCAGTAGAGCTTCAGAAGCGCTCTAGAGGCTGTTGTTTGTGGTACTTGTTCAGAACAGGGTGAGGTGCCAGGGCTCTCGAATGTGACAGGTTCAGCGCTCGTCATTGATTTTTGCGGGTTTCGTGGCGGGAAAGGATGTGTCCGTTGCGTGCTCCAATCTGCTGGAAAATATGGATAGACTGGTTTGTCTTCGCGTGGGTGCTGCACAGGCACCAGGACCTGGGTAGTGATTTGAAAGTGGTGCTGCTCGCCTAAAGGGGGGGGCTTTTTGTGCCATAGGTAGTCGTAGCCGCAGGCTTATCTCGTCGCATCAGTTCGTCGTTCCTTTCTTGTTCTTCATAATCGTACCTGCTGATTTATCCTCCTTTATTAAGATCTCTTTCATCTTCTTCGACTTTCCATTACCACACGTTGCTTCCCGTATTCGACACAAAGCAAAGCGACTCGAGATTCCCGACACGGTCCTTGTGCTGGTCTCTTCGAGGAAGAAATACGTAATCCTTCACAATGGGAGGCGACACTGTCCTGTCCAGGCAAGACATTGAAACCATGGTCGCCAATGGCGATGCCATCGTCATTTTTCAGGACTATGTCCTGAGGCTCAACTCGTGGCTGCAAGCTCATCCTGGCGGTGACTTGCCCATCCGACACATGATTGGGAGAGATGGGACGAGCGAAATCACTCTGTAAATAAACCCAACCCTTTTTTTACTGGCTTATCTTCTTTTTTCCCCGTGTGCCTGTTGTGGCGGCGTCTGTCGTGCGTCATCAGCTGTTTGGTGCAGAATAGCCTCTTGTCAGCTGCAGCAAGCTTAAGCTTGGGGGAGAAGTCTGCAACCGTTCCTGCGTCTCGACAATGGATGGGGTATTCAATGACTTGCAGAAGCAGAAAAGCGCCTTTCCAGCTGACCGACTTCTCTTTTTAATAGGTATCATGCGGCCCATACCCTCAAGACTATGAAGGCCTTTCGGGTTGGCCGGAAGCCTACGAGTCCCTGGTATAACATGACACCGCCAATCAGGGCTGCCTCATCCAACGAGCCCGCCACGACAGCCACGCCTCATGCATTGATAGATGCAGCCCTGGCGGAGAGGCGTGTCTCGAGTCAGGGTCTTGTCGATAGCAGCATCGGTCTGGAATCGAGGCTGAAACAAGGCACATTGTTCAATAAGCCCGTGGGCGGCGACGATGGCAATCGCGGTTGTCTCCAGACGGGCCGCCAGCCCCAGCCTACGTTTTGCTCGAGAAGGCCCTCGCCCAGGTGCGCTCTGCTCCCCTTGCCAGAGGTGACTGATGAAAAGGCTCTCGAGGCGGCTCGCCTGCTGCCGCGAGGACGAAAGCATATGTCGCCCGAGAAGTATACAGAATGGGCCCTGCAGCAGCAACGGGAGACAGATATGAGCGAGTACCCGTGCCTGAACCACGGCATTCAAGTGGCCATTACAGAAAAGTACATGAAACTGAATGAACAAATCGAAGCCCATGGCTTGTATAACTGTCCGTATCTAGAGTATGGCAAGGAGATGGCGCGCTATCTCACACTTTTTGCTGTTTCGATGATTAGTCTGAACAAGGGCTGGTACCTGACTTCGGCCTTCTTTCTTGGTTTATTTTGGGTAAGCTAATCTATCTCTATCTGCCTCGACTTCATTCTTACTTATACTGCCACAGCATCAACTCATGTTTACTGCCCACGATGCTGGCCATCTAGCAATCACTCATATATTCGAAGTCGATACCCTCATTGGCATGTTTATTGCCGACTTTTGTTGCGGTCTGTCCATTGGCTGGTGGAAGAGTAGCCACAACGTGCATCACCTCATCACCAATCAACCGGTACAC